TCATTTTTAATAAATGCAAAAAAAATCGTGGCCATGTTATCAACAAAAAAAAATATATGCGTGGTCATTCAAGGCGTGCGACTGCACGCGTCTCCTGAGAAGGCCTGTTTTGGCTTGTTCTCTTTTTGATAAGCCAGGATTTGTGTGAATGATTGTCCAATACTAATTGCTGCTTTCTTATCATTAAAGCCACTCTTTCTTCCAGATCCTTTTACTCTTTTAATAGATAGGGTGCTCTTGTACCGTTTTATGACCTTATAAACAGCAGTTTATCTAGATACAGATGCTTTAGCAATTGAAAGTAAAGATGCAGAAGAATTTTATAGATAGTTTTGCAGAACTTTTTTTGGTTTTTTTAACTATTTCTATGACATTTTAATTAATTTTGTAATTATAAATAATTAATTTTGTAATTATAAATAATTAATTTTGACTCATTTGCTTATGTTTTTAATACCATTATTTCTTTATGTAATTACGCAAAAATTAATTTTAAAATATGTTAGTGACAAGTTTTAAAACAAAATTAATTTTTCCAAATTTAAGGATTACATGATTTAATAAAAAAAAAATTTTTGTTACTCAGTGTAATTAAGGCAATTTGCAAATTATTTGAATTCTTTTATTAAGAATTAGCATGGTTTTGTAAGCATATTATGTCCAAACAATATTTTAAATGAAATAATTTTTTTTGCTTCAGGTTTTTATAACATTTAAAGTAACTTTTCTTTTTTTTTTATATAATTTTCAAAACCTTTTTACTACCCCTAATAGTGAATCTAAATAACACCATTTTGGAGTCTTTAGATCAATTCCACTCATTGGCATTGACATGAATTTAGTTAAAATCTTTTGAAAAAGTTCCTTAATTTACTATTGACCCTAGTTTAATTGGTTCTGACGTATATTAACTATATATAGTTGTCAAAACACAATACTTCTATCAATTTTCACAAAAAATACTAGTATTCCGACCAAGAAAGAGCTTATAATTATGGAAAATTGCCAATAAACAATCAGAACAGAATATATTGTTAAACTATAATGTTCATTTCATCTAAAAAACATATTTATTTAAAATCTTATTAAAATTTGGAAAAGCAATTATAATTTTAAGAAATTTTTTTTTAAAAAAAAGAATCTTGGGTCTGGGTTTTTCGCTATAAACATTTATATTTTTTAATACCACAAAAGTTCTCATTTTAATTTTTTTTGTCTTTATATAATTCACAGACCTAATCATTTAACCGAAATATTTCGTAGTCAATAAAATATCATACAGACACCATAATAATTTAAAATTGCCTTAACTACACTGAGTATGTTTCATTTGCTTTGTAGACATTTGAAATTATCAAAGTTTCGAATTTTTAAATTATTAAGTTTCGAAGTAATTAAACTTAGATTAAATAACTTTGAAACTTCAACCTTTTTTAAAATTGTTTGTAGTGAAACACTTTTAAATTAAAATAAAAAAATATATTAATTTTATGCCTTTATCCAATCCACAGGGCTATTCATTTTTATATGCGCGCCTATTCGCTTTTATACGCATGTTTATTCATTCTTATATGCGCATTTATTCATTCTTATATGCGTATTTATTCATTCTTATATGCGTTTTAAAAAAGCATATTTAAGCAATTTGTTTTGAAAAAACAATTTACTTTTTCAAAACAAATTTTTCTTATTTCCTGGTAAATGAGGTTAAAAATACTTAAGAAGAAGACTTTTTACATTCAATGATGGTTTATTTAATTTAGTATTAGGCCTTTGTTTAATTTTATTATTAAATTTCTTGATTGATTATATTATTATTTGTCTAATTATTCATTTATCTAGATTTAAATTTATTTATAATTATTATTAATATCAAATATTTACCCTATGGATGGAAGAGAAAGTAGCAGTGCCAATAATTTAAAAAAAAAATGTTACAAAAGAGTTTTCCTTTCAAATAAATGCTGAACCATTTATTTGAAAGGAAAGAATCTACAACAAGCATTTCCACTTCTCTTAATTTAAGTCTAAGCGCACAGTTCAAAATCTTGACATGAAGTTAAACAGAGGAGATGACATGACTGCATTCAAGTCGTTTTCTGATAATAAAAAAAACGAGGTAAAAGACCTATAAACGCTCAAATAAAAAATATTATCGAATTATGCGTACAAGAAAACAATCTTTGCAAGCAAGAAGCAATAAAAGAAAATCTTTCTGCACCAGACTTCAACATGTCTAAGCCTACTATTTCAAGAAAACTCAAACGCTGAGATTTATAAAGAAAGCGTGCTGTGCATGTGCCAGAAGAACGAAACTCAACACGAGTTATTAAGGCACGCTATGCATTTGCAAGCGAAAATAATGGAATTTCAAATAAAAAAACTAATTTATTTGGATGAAACTGGATTTAATGTGCACACTAACAGCACATATGGTTATATGTTAAGTAGTGTGCCAGCAATTTTACAGTCATCTGCAAATCGTGGCAAGAGTGTTAGTTTAATTTGTGCTGTTTCAACAATGGGAGTGCTGGCATATAAAACAAAAACTGGTGGCTGGAATGCAGATTCATTTTGTACTTTCATTACCACAATGTTGGCACCACTGATTAGGAATGCAAATGTGGAAGCGCTAGTGCTTGTTATGGACAATTGTAGATTCCACTGGAGTCTTTCTGTTAGGCAAACACTAGCTTCTCATGGCATAGCAATTAAGTATCTGCACGCATACACGCAACAGCTTAATCCAATAGAAGAATTTTTTTTCTTCTTTAAAGCATACTTACAAACAGGAAGAAAGGCCTCGAAATATGGATGGTGTAATCAGGAAACTTAAAAATAATACAGAGTTTAACTTAATTCCATTTTACAACTATATGCATAGTTACATAATCCAGCACTGGCTCCGCAACCATTTTTTAAATAAATAGCAGTGGCAACAACCTAATTTATATTTCAAATATATCTATATAAAAACATAAAATCCTACTTATTGTTTATATTGTGGGGAATTATTAAACGTTTCCCAGTGACACTAATGAATTCGCTCGTTTGTTTATAGTTGCTTTATTATCATTTGACTGTGAATATATTATTTACAAATATCAAAATTAAATATAATAAACACAAAATATTATATTAACAACTTAAAATACATGTAATTATGTTGCCATAATTTTTCCAATACCTTCACAAAGACTGCATTATTACAAATACATTAATGTTAATATTAAGATTTCACAATAATATTAGGTTATATTAGAGAATTTATAAGTAGTTGACTCGCATATAAACGCGCATATAAGAATGAATAAACACGCATATAAAAATGAATAAACACGCATATAAGAATGAATAAACACTCATATAAGAATAAATAAATGTGCATATAAGAATGAATAAACACGCATATAAGAATGAATAAATGCGCATATAAAAATGAATAAACACACATAAAAATAAATAGACGCGCATATAAAAATGAATAACACAGTATTACTAATAACATTTTCATTTAATTATTCATAATTAAAGTAAAAACACTGTTTAAGTTGAAGGTATTACCTATTGCTTGAAAGTATTTTTTTAATATTTAAAAAAATAAGATGATGATATTAATTTGTATATATAGGGAAAACAGTTTGCAAAATAAAAACAACTTGAAGTCAACAAAAATGGGGCAGAATATTGCAGACAGAAAAATCTGAGTTTTGTGGATAGGCAAAAGTTTTTATACTTTTGGATTAGATGGTAAGTAGTTTGTTCGTAGACCACCTAATAAAAAGTTTGACCCACATTATACTAAAAAAACTGTGAAATTTCATGGTGGAAGCATGTTGGTGTGGAGATGTTTCTCATTATCTGGTATTGATCCTATTTATTTAATAACAGACATTATGACAGATAATATTTATGCTAATATACTTCAATAGTATGCGGTAGTGGTGTAGTGGTAGTGGTGTAGTGGTAGTGGTGTAGTGGTAGAGCGGTAGTGGTGTAGTGGTAGAGCGCTCGCTTCATAAACGAGTGGTTCCGAGTTCGATCCCCACCACGTCCCTGGTAGTACCGCGCTCAACTTGTTTCTCCGCGCAGCGGCCTTGTTCGTCAAGGTTCGTGTTTCGGAGTTATAGAGTTGAGAGAGGGTTATAACCACAAATAAGTAGCCTCCTTGTCTGTAGTGGCCTTCTCGGCCTTGAGGAGGTGAATTAAAATAAAAAAAAAATAAATAAATAAATAAATAATAGCTGAGGATAACATATCATTGCTTTGGATATTTCAGCAAGATTATAATCCAAAACAAACAACTTCTGTTGCATAGAGGTGGTTCAAAAAAAAATGGTATAGGAAAATTTAATTGGCCAGCACAATTTACAGAAAAAAATTCAACAGAAAATTTATGGAAATTTGAGTTAAAACAGAAAACAATAGCCTGGGTACAAAAAGAATCTTAAAAGGTTGTAAAAGCATAATGGTATGCTATTCTGTTACCAATATGCCATAAATTGGTCAATAGCATGCCCAAAAGAATAATTTATGTTAAAAAAAGAACATGCAACAAAATATTAATTTTTGTGAATGAGGTAAACTTTTTGCAAAAAAAAAAAAAAAAGTTTGTTTATGCTAATAATTGTTTTATTATTTTATATACACGAACATAATGTATGTATAAATATACATACATTATGCGTATATATAAATATGCATACATTATGTGTGTATATATATACATATATATATATATATGTGTGTGTGTGTGTGTGTGTGTGTGTGTATGTGTTTATATATATGTGTGTGTGTGTGTATATATATATATATATATATATATATATATATATATATATATATATATATATATAAATACCTGCTTTCACCCTCTAAATGTGTTCTATATAATAAAATAATACTGGAATTGAAAAAAATTTCATCCCTTAAATATTAGACAGGTCTCTAATATTATCAAAAAATTTATATATGTATAAAATTGTGTTATAACAATTTACTTGGCAGCAACCACCACTGTATTTCGGTTAGGTTCTTGATCTTGACTGTATGTTTTACAATTATATGCCTCAGCCAGTTCATGAATAATTTTACGTTGGTTTAAATTCATTGGAGGAAATGGATGATGAAGTTGCTCTTGTGAAGACTAAAAAATAAAAAATAAAAAACAAACAAAAACTAACAGATAAAAAATAAATACTTCTAAAATAATAATAACAATATATTTAGCTTTTTCTTCTTTATAATGATTTTGTTAATTTTTTAGGTTAATCAACAACAAAAGAAAACACACAAAATCAATTTGACCCTACAAAAAACATCACAAACATTGATGAGAAACTTTAAAAACTTAAAATGATAAAAATAACCTGTATATAATATATAGGCATATATGAAACATACATATATAAATAGCATGTGTATATATATATATATATATATATATATATATATATATATATATATATATATATATATATATATATATATATATATATATATATATATATATATGTATACATGTATAAATAGCATATAAATGTATGTTTACTATAAATTTTAATGATTGCGTCTGCCAAAACAATTTTTTTTAATGAAATCTTTTGTTAATATAAAATTATTTTCAAACTTAATTCAAAGCAATTCATAAATTTCATCAAGATATTTGTCATACAAGACAAATAGATTACAGAAAAGTTGAAGAAAAAAATTTGAAATTTCATAAAATTATTTCCTTTCAAAAAGTTGTTATAAATAAAACTTTTTAAATAGATTTGCAATAAATTTACTGGCATAACAAAGAAGTATAATTAAAAAAAAAAAATGAAAAAGAAGCTCAACTCTCCTTTTATATAGCTGAACTCTCCCATAAATAGCATTTTGCAAACAACTACACACATATAAGAGGTGCATACCCAAAAGCATAAGAATTGTTAAATGTATTTAAAAAACATGCTAATAAACTTTAATAAATTTTTTAGAGGTGTTAAACATTTCTTGTGTTTACTGGGTATGCTATCAAATCTAGTTTCCATATTATAACGATGTTGTAATTATTTGAAAACCACGTAACTTGACCGGTTTTAAAATAAATCATAAAACATAAAAAGTTTGTTTCTTAATTATAAAAAAATTTCAAATAATACTTCAGTAAATAAAAATCTAGGCTAAACTTTGAAATGAAAATACTAATTATCGCCAAAATACTTTAAAACCAAAAAAAAAAATTACAATATTAGTAATAAAATTTAAGATATTCAAGTTAAAAAATAAAACTATTGAAAAATTAATAATTTATCTCAAATAAAAAATACCTTTTTTAGTCTAAAAATTAAGTTCTCAAGTAAATTTTCCAGCATTTGAATGAAAAGGTATTGAACTCTAAAAAAAAAAAATGTTAAAAGAAAGAACTATTATAATTAATTTTATTTCATTTGTCTTAATTTATTTTTCTTCTTTTATCTTTTTACATTTTATTTATTTGCCTTCTATACTATACTCAAGAATATAGATGAAAAAAAGAGAAGAAAAAAATGAATTCGTTAAATACACAAATATTTTAAACAATTGTGGATAGCATTAATTGTAAAACACTCAAATACTCAAGCTTTGCAAAACATTTACCAATAAATAAATTTTAAGTGTACAATAAAGCATTGGAGTGGGGAAGGGGGGGGCGGAGCACAACACACATTTTGTAAGGTGAAATTAGTTTAAAAACTTTATTTTAAAAAACTAAAACTATATTTAAATATAATAAACATCTCTAGAAAACCTACTTTGCTTGTTCTTTTAAAAAAGTTGAATATTGAGCATGCTGAAAAAGTCCTTCATTATTATCAATCCCAAGAGCCTCTGCTAACCTTCTAAAAAAATATTGTATCATAAAGCATTTTAATTTAGAAGTTAAAAATGAAAAGCACAGAAAACATTGAATAATTTTATATGACTTAAAAAAAAAAACTATATACACTAACAGTAAATCGCCAGAGTTCATATTTTTATGATTTTATTTCAAATTAATGAAATAAACTGCTAAGCCTTTTCTATTTGAAGAAGTTTAAAAGTATTAAAACATTTCACAAAGACTTTAACCCCAACTAATAAACTTGATGTCTAGCAAAAGCTTAGATACAACCAAAGCTGATATTAGGTTGTGAAAAATCTTTTTAAATACAATATATGAAACTTATTAAACAATTGGCTTACTTATTTCTTTCAATTCTTGAGCATTCTTCATCACAATCCAAACTTAAACAAAAAAGCAAGCAATAAAGAAGATTCTTTTTTAATAAAATGTGAAAAAAAGCTTATTTAAATTTAAACTTACAATTTTGGTCTTTTAGCATTTGTCAAAGCAGCAATATCTATATATTGACCTAACTGCAAATTTCTTAATTGACCACTCAACATCTCTGCATTGAAACTAAAAACTGTTAACTTTTAGAATCTTTTAAAATAAATAATTTATATTTATTACAAATTATTCATATAAACTACACATACCATTGTGTTTATATATATATATATATATATATATATATATATATATATATATATATATATATATATATATATATATATATATATATATATATATATATATATATATATGTCAACCTAACTGCCAACCTGGAAGTGTTTTAGGTCGGCAAAAAATTTTTGACCTCATTTCTATATTTTTATGGTTAAACCTTTGTATCAAATTGCTGACTGCTTACAGATATATATATATATATATATATATATATATATATATATATATATATATATATATATATATATATATATATATATATATATATATATATATATATATATATAAACTAATTAAATGTTATGTATATACAAGCATACATATGTATAACCTATACTAACGATTAATGTATACTGTTTGGTAAAAAAAAAGGCTCTTAAAAACCTTTGTATTTTATGTTGACAAAACTCCTTAAAATAATTTTGGAAAATAATTAAATTTTGTTTTTCAAAAAAAGACAAAAAGGCAACTTTGTTGACTAAAATTTTGTTTTGTTTTTAAACTTTGTGTTTTTGGACAGTTTTTATTATTTAATTTTATTCAATTGTTGTTTTTTTTTTGTTTGTTTTTTTTTGTTTTTTTTTGTATATGTGAAAATGATACTCAAAAGAATCAATACTTAGCATTATTATTATCACCATAGTTACTTTTGTCCAGCTTGAGTTCAAATTAGTAACTATTACGTAATGCTGTTGTCTCAGCGCCAATCTTTTAAAATGATAACTTTCAGCCTTTTAACTTAAGCACTTTCATATCAGAGTCTTTTTAATCATTCTTTTAAAAAAACTTAAAATCCTCTAACCTCCCCCTCCACTTTTTTTTTTTAATTTGACCTGACTATATTTTATAAAATAAAATATAGACCTGACGTGTATAAAATATGCATGGGTTGTTGAGTTGAAATGTTGATTCAGCTTTTTTGTGGTTATGTAAATAGACAACAAAGCAACTATGACATGTAATATCTTGACGGTTCAGAGGATTTTCCTAAAATTTGGAACCAAAATATATTTTTGCTCAAGGAATTAAAAAAACTACCCTTAGGACTTGATAGTCTCTAGAAATGCCTCATTTATCCAACTTTTTTTAAAATTATTGACATATACTTCTTGCTTCTTCCGTATTTTATAAAACTTCTTCAGTATTTTATAAAATTGTTTCAATAATTCTTTAATTAGTTCATAATATTGCAAAAATAATCACTAAAGCTGAAAGTAATATCTGCTGAAAGTTTTTTGCAAGTGAAAAAAGAATTTTGAAAATACTCAGCTGATGAAATGCTTAATAATTACAAGTTATAATTTTTTAAATACAAGACTTCTAAAGGAAAAATTTAAGACCATGATAATAAACCCATAGTAAGCGCAGGATTTTGTAAATTTTATAACAAAGATCAAACTTATAAGGTACATAAGTCTTTTATTGTTAATTACCTGGGAACAAACCTGTTTATTCACAAGTTCATAATGACTGACAAACACCTTTACGCCCTTTACTATCTTTCAAAAAAATGTTTTGACAAATTTTGCTGTGTAAAGTTTTTTATATAAGTTTATAAATAACTTTTAATTATAAATAAACCTTATAAATACTTACCGAGTCAAAAAAGTTATTGTAGTAACTGTACAATGCTAAATAATGTTTTTACAAAAATGTCTGGCTATAAAAATACAATTGACTCTCGATATCTCAATTACTCGATATCTCGAACTTAATTTCCGGTCCATTGCGCACTCATTTAAGCCAAATCATCTCAATATCTTAAACTCTTGATATCTCTAATTTTTTTCCCAGTCCCTAAAGAGTTTGAAATACCGAGAGTCAACTATAGCTATTTAATAATAGGTAGACATTTATTGAAATTATACTTTTATTATACTTGAATTAAAACACAAGTATTAATAACAAACTTGTTAAAAACTTGTAAATAAAACAATATTATTAGATTCAGCCAGTTAAGTGAAATTCAACCAAATTTTCCACAGGTAATAAATCCTTTGGTTTGACAATAATAAACAAGCTTAATCAAGTCTTTGGTTTGACAATAATAAACAAGCCTAATCAAGTCTTTGGTTTGACAATAATAAACAAGCCTAATCAAATCTTTGGTTTGACAATAATAAACAAGCCTAATCAAGTCTTTGGTTTGACAATAATAAACAAGCCTAATCAAGTCTTTGGTAAAGGATTTGTTAAGTCTGTTATATAATAGGTATTAAAAGATATGGTGTGGTCTTTCCAACAAGTATAAAAAGAATACTGATTTTCTGCAATTGTTTTTGAAGAAACAAAGAAAGAAAGAGACAGGTGTTTTATAACACTTCAAAGTTGTATTATCAAACATTGTGTTAAACTGAGTACTCTGATAGTCTAGCAAAGTGATAACCAATTTAAACAGAATAATCGCAAATGCAATTTTAAGGCTTGTTTAAAGCATATTTGAAGGTGTTTTAAAGTGGATAGAAATACTGTAGAAAAACATCACTTCCTTTAAAGTTTGGCAACCAAATATTATATTGATGGTATATAATTTTTATTATAATTTGCAATAGATACAAGAAAAGAAGACAGAGTTAATACAAGAAAAAGCTGTTTAAAATTGCGTTGATAAAAACTAGTCTTTGCTCCTTAATGTTCTTGGATAATAAAGCATTTGTGACAAAAAAAAAAAAAAAAATAGAATTTCTATATTCAGATTTTCGACTTATTAAGTATAAGTTATTATTTAGCCAAATTGTTCATCCCCATATTAGTGTTTTGAGAATTATTATCCCCTTTGTTTTTAAAGAACCTTATCTTCTTAAGTTATGAAAGAATTTTAATTGTTTTTGGTCCCCTTTTCTACATAATATTTTAATTAAAGCTTTTTTTTTTTTTTTATTTGTGTGTGGATGTTATGAATTGTGAAATCTACTTTACAAAAAAAAATTTATTTCTAAGAGACAAAATCTTATTGTGGAGACTTTTAATCGTGTAAATTAAAATTAAATCACAAACATTTTTTGTTATACACAGAGCAACAATAAAATCAAAACTTGTTATTAACTTCAGTAGAAAAGAAGCAGTGGAAGAGGTTCCACAACTAAATGTTCTATTGATAATTAAAGACATTCTTTAATACAGAAAACCTTAGAAATAAATTTTTTTTTGTAAAGTAGATTTCACAATTCATAACATCCACACACAAATAAAAAAAAAAAAAAGCTTTAATTAAAATATTATGTAGAAAAGGGGACCAAAAACAATTAAAATTCTTTCATAACTTAAGAAGATAAGGTTCTTTAAAAACAAAGGGGATAATAATTCTCAAAACACTAATATGGGGATGAACAATTTGGCTAAATAATAACTTATACTTAATAAGTCGAAAATCTGAATATAGAAATTCTATTTTTTTTTTTTTTTTGTCACAAATGCTTTATTATCCAAGAACATTAAGGAGCAAAGACTAGTTTTTATCAACGCAATTTTAAACAGCTTTTTCTTGTATTAACTCTGTCTTCTTTTCTTGTATCTATTGCAAATTATAATAAAAATTATATACCATCAATATAATATTTGGTTGCCAAACTTTAAAGGAAGTGATGTTTTTCTACAGTATTTCTATCCAACGGACGAACTAACTTCAAATCATATTTACTTGGGAGTACTATGTAAACTTGTGAACTATTCGAGATTTTGAACTGAGCGGCTATATTCTAAGTTTAATAAAAAAATTTAATAGGCTGTATGTTAAAGGGGCAGTCTGAATTTAATCTTGAATATTTGAAACTTTTTTTTTCCTTATTTATAATTCAAAATGCAAGTTATTAAAAAGACACGCAGTCTTATGTAATAAAACTGGGGATGCCTATTGATATATTCTAATGTATACTTGTTGTTACAAACTAATTTTTCTTCCTGATGATAGTTAAACAATTAAACTTGATAAAAATTATACTCAGGATTTATATAAAAAAGGAAGCCCAAAATTTGTTATAACTTAAATAATTATTTTCATTTTTTTTAAACTAATAAAAGAAAATATTTAAAAAATAAAGTTCTATAAATTAAAATAGAAAAGGTGTTTAATAAAGTTTATAGTTAAGTCATACAACTCAAAAGTTAGTTTAACCTCCATCATAATACTTAAATTGTTTCTTTTTTAAGTAATCGCTAAATTATGAAATTTGTTTTTTAATATTATGCATTCCGGTTTAAAATTTCTTTTCAACCGTTTCATATAATTAACTGTGCATAATTTGTTTACCTATTGCTATAGTTTGATTTTAATTGTTACATATATAACAAAACTTCTTTTTTGTCCATAATATGTTTAAGTTAAAAACTTTTATTTGATTTTTTTTTTTATATGCCCAACAACATAGCAGACACTGCAACTTTAAACACTTTTATCATTTTTATATTCGTCTTTAAGAAAATCAATTAAATAAAATTTTGTTTTAATTTCATGACATTATAATTGTTATTATTATTATTTTTTTTTTTACTGTATTCAGTTTCAAAAGGGACCCTTATAAGGCTACTTATATTTTCTTTTTAATTGTTGTTACAACCCCTTCTCAATTTTTAAACTCTGAAACATAAGCTGTGACATACAAACTGGCTGTTGAACAAAGAAATTAATTTTGTAGTATTTTAACTCTAATAAACTAAAAAATCTTATTGTATACAACTATTATTGCTTAATGTCACTCTTTTAATCAGACTTTAGTACAAATATCATTAACTATAAAATAATTATATTATAATTATTATAGCAAATTTTTTTATACTAAATTATAATTATTAACATAGTAATTTAATTATTTTATATTAACATTATCTTATTATTAGTTATTTTTATTACTATTATAAATGTTATACAGATGTATTAGAATTATGGTTGGTAATTTAAACGACACTCCCTGCATGTTCTCCCTATTCTCCCTGCATGTTCTCCCTATTCTCCCTGCATGTTCTCCCTGCATGTTCTCCCTATTCTCCCTGCATGTTCTCCCTGCATGTTCTCCCTGCATGTTCTCCCTGCATGTTCTCCCTGCATGTTCTTCCTGCATGTTCTCCCTGCATGTTCTCCCTGCATGTTCTCCCTGCATGTTCTTCCTGCATGTTCTCCCTGCATGTTCTCCCTGCATGTTCTCCCTGCATGTTCTCCCTGCATGTTCTCCCTGCATGTTCTCCCTGCATGTTCTCCCTATAAGTCAATATGTGCACTCATTTATTCCATTGTAAAATATTATAATTAAAAATTGTTTATCTTGTAAAATACCATTTAAGAGGTAAAATGACAAGTTCAAGTTGTAAAATAACATTCCAAATGGTAAAATAATAAAACTCACGAGATAAAATGACAAGATACCTTTTACCACATTAAAATCTAGTCAATTAAATTCAGAAATTTCAAGAAGAGAAATTACCACATTTATAAATATTGTAAATGATTAAAGATCAACAAAAAATAAAAGCATGTTTATGTTGCTGTTGCATCAAGCCATTTAAGTTCATGTTTCTTATTTGCATAATGGCGAGTGTTTTGATGGCTATTATAGTATGACTGGCTAACTGTAAATTAACCTCTTCAAAATAAAATAAACTTAAAAGAATCATAGAAGTTATAATGAATAACATTAAATGTTTAATAACTGTAAAACTTTAAATAACACTCAAATTTGATCACTAAATTTCATTTTAAATTTTTTAACAAAGAATTCATTTTTAACAGATATTGAGCCAGACAAAAAATCCAACTATACATGCAATAACACAAATTTAAATACAAACCTTTGATAAGCAGAATTCACATTACCAGACAGACATAATGCATTTGCAGATAACCTTTTACATCGACAAAATATTGTTATCTAAACAACAATATTATATTTAAAACTTTTTTGCAGTTATTTCCAATGTACCAAAAAGCACGTAAAAGATATAAATTCATATAAATGTAAATGAGAGAATAAAAATAAAAAGTATAACATATATAACTTATCGACTGAACAAGTGTATAACAAGACATACGACTGAACAAAATAAATCATTGTATCAATAACAACAACAAAAAGTTTAAAACAAAACTAAACCAATACTAATATAAATGTTAGAGTTGAGTGAAAAATAAACTCAATATATGTTTGTTTTTTTTTCAACTTATTTGTATTGGGTACTATTTAGTATATGATGAAGATCCACCCAAAGTTTATTTAAAAACAATATTTTTTAGTTATTTTGCAATTTTCAGTGAAAAAATCAAAATTTTTCTATAATTACAAACTCATTTGAATATAGAAATTGCTTTTTAGCAAAAATTTAACTTTGATAAAATCATTTTTCTTAAAAGAATATTTCGGTTTGCCCTAAATGCAAGAACATATTTATTTTATTTTTTTATCTGAAATGTGGTGTTGAATATTCTATTTCACAGTTCTAGTTAGATACAAACAGTCACTGCATTCAAAACTGCAATCTGAAGTAGATTTTTAATAATATTTATTCACCTTCCAAAAGCTAAAGGTACAACTATACTTGACTGGTAACAATGACGATGTGGGTTTGAACTCTGCACCCCTCGCATAGGTAGCAAGGGTGCCTTTTCTATATCAGATTTCTACGTCACACTTAGCTGACTGAGTGTGATATAAACTTAAATAATACTCAGGCAGATGTTAACCAAAAAATGATAAGTTTAGGCTAAGGTTATAAGCAGTCAAGTCAAATGAGAAGATACATCAGCAAAAGATATTTTGATGTAGGTATGTTAAATATAAAGATGGAAACAATAAACAGTTTTAAAAGAAATTATATAATCTGTACAAAATGCAGAAACATAAAATAATTTTAAAAAGTAAACTTTAACTTTTCATTTATTTTATAGCATAATTTTTTATATTTTTTATATAAACTAATTTACTCCCAACAAGACTGCAAACAACCATTATCAAGCTGGTAGTTACTAGAAAACAAATAATATTGTTAAAGAGCAAGGAAACAGCTGACAGAAGACTTGAAAAGTTTTGAGTTGTATAATGAGTGAGAGAAAAAAAAAATTTTTTTAGAGCATGAAGGGACAGATACAGTAAAAGGATGTGACTTAGCTGAATAACAAGTCAAGCAAAAATTATTTTTTGATAGTATTCGTAGAAAAAAAGAAAAAGATGAAACCTTAGAACAATAGGATAGCAGACTTGGTCGAGAAGCGGGTGCAATTGCAATCTATATCTGATCACGCATATAATAATTAGTTGAGACAACAAGGCCACGGCTTTTTAGATGTTTTGAGAACATTTCAAAAAGCACATTTAAGTAAGATAAACAAAAGAAATAATTAAATAGTTGCGTTACTATAAAAATATTATAACAACTATTTCTTTTAGCAGTGTCTTTATTATGTTTAAAAAAATTCCGCAATGCGCCAGACCCTGAAACAGCTGTCTATAATGATCGGTTTCTAAACTGCACAATAATATACATTTAATAACTTTATATTTTACATAAGTCCATCCGTTTATTTTACAATAATATATATTATAAATTAATATATAAAAAGCATATTACACTCTAAGTAAATTATAATTTTATTTTGTCTTTAGCAAACAAACCCATGTTTTTATTGCATCAAATTATTAGAAAGCAAACTTTAATGTTATAACTAAAAAGGTAAAACATATTTATGAAGAGGAAGTGGAAAACAATACGGTTGATGTATTTAGCGAGTAGGTTTTTTAATATATGTGTATGTTTTTGTTCTGTATGAACTGCTGTCGTGGTTGGTTCACCAGTAAGTCACTTGATATAAATGCATGTTTATGTTTTGTTTGATCCTCTGAATGGTGTTCATCCACTTGTAATTCACTATGTATATATGTATGTTTATGTTCAGCTGTGGTTTCTTAACGTTAACAGCAAATGGAAAACCATTCCTTATGTTAATGAGTACAAACAAACTCGAAATCTGGTAAAGAAAGCAAATCGTGATGCAATCCGTGCCTATGAAATTAATTTAACTAATGACAAGAAAAAACCCAAAAAAATTTTTGCTTATATTAATAGCAAACGCACTGTAAGCAATCAGATTGTGTCATTACAATCTATGACTGGTGAAATTAGTAACGACCAAGTTTTTATTGCCACATTAAACATTATTAACACATTAAACAAACAATTAACACATTAAACAAACAATTTCATTATTAACACATTATTAACACATTAAACAAACATATTAACACATTAAACAAACAATTTCAATCTGTCTTTACCATTGAACCTTACAATCAAACTTTACCTCTTTTTACTAAACGAACAGCTGTATTACGTTCTTACATCTCCTTTTATTATGAGTCTGTTAAAAGTCACCTCATTACTCTTGATGGTTATAAATCTATAGGTGAAAATCAGATAAGCCCTTACGTACTTAAGGCATGCTCTAACTCAATAGCAACTCCACTAGCCATGATCTACCGAAAATCAATGGAACAAGGCATGTTACCAAAGGCATGGCTTGTAGCAAATGTGACTCCTTTGTTGAAAGGAGGTTTCAAAATGAATACAAACAATTACAGACCCATTTTCATTACTTCTGTGCCATGCAAAATAATGGAAAAAATAGTTAAAAATAAGATAATGCAGCATCTACTGTCTCAAAATCTTATATCAAATTGCCAGCATGGTTTCATAAACAAAAAATCTTCTGTTACTATTTTACTTGAGACTTCTCGTTGACATTGTCTTCCTAGATTTCGCTAAGGCATTTGACAAAGTTCCTCACACTAGACTGCTACAAAAGCTGAAATCCTATGGAATTGAAGGTAAAACTTTAAACTGGATTAAAAGTTTCTTTCAAATCGTATTCAACGTGTCCTATTTGGAAATGTAACATTGGAATGGGAAAAAGATACATTACATTTACATACACAAAATCATTAATAATTTACCAAAACAAATTAGTAGCAAAAATATATGCAAAATGTATGCAGACAACACAAAAATCCTTAGTGTGGTCTGCACTGAAGAACAAAAACTTTGTCTGCAAACTGACATTGATAACATTGTTAATTGGGTTTAAGAATGGCTTATGGAAATTAATATTAGGAAATGTAAAATAATGCATTTCAACTAATCCAAATCCGTTCCACACCAATACTTTATTGATGACCATGGCTCAAACAACAGTCCTAACAGAATTCAACTTGAATCAACCTCATCAGAAAGAGACCTTGGTGTTTTAATTTCCAATGACCTTAAGCAAAATTTCCAAACATCTATTGCTGCAGCCAAGGCTAACAAAATGCTTGGTATCCAAAAACAACTCTGGAAAAAGCTATATACAACTTATATATGTCTACTTTTAGAATTTTCCATTACCGCTTGGTGTCCTTATTTAGAATAGGACATTTCTGTAATAGAAAGCATTCAACGGCATGTTACAAAAGTACCGCAAATGAAACCTTTTGATTATAATTCAAGGTGTATCAAACTTGGTCTCACTTCTCTATGCGAACAAAGAAAACAATTGGACCTTATTCAAAAACTTAAATTATATAAAAAACTTGATATAATTTAAATTTTTTTAGCATTCCATACATTTGCTACATGTTTGTTAAAAATCGAACGTCAAGTTCGATTTTTAACAAACATGTAGCAAACGTATGGAATGCTTTGCCAGACAATGTAGTAAATACTACCTCAGTGAAAAGGTTCAAAACTAATTTAGACCGCCATCTAATATAGTTACCATAGCACATTATTTTCCGTGGCTGCTTCAATGCTGCTATAAGCACTAACTTTGCTAGTTAATGATGAACTTACGGTTCATGTATTGTTCTGATTAACTTAATAATAAATAAATAAATAAATAATTTTTTACCATCATTGATACTAATGTCTATTATGCAAAAAATAACCTGTGCTTTGCAAGGTGTGCTTGGGCATTCAGAACCAACATGACAAGGAGCATTACAAGAATGAGTGCAATCGTTGCGTTTTACAGGGCACGGTTGAGTACAAACCTCATCAGTTTCATAACATTGGTCCTGTAAAAAATATATTACTTTTATGAAGGTCAGGTCAAATAGTTATTTTAAAAAGCTGTAAAGTATAAAATAATAAGATAAAATAGGTGTGCACTATTTTAGATTTTATTTCTAGCCTTTTTTAATAATTTTCTTTTAAATAAAATTTAATAAAAAATTTTTTAAATACGATAACAGTTTTGATGTCAAATTATAAATGTCTGGTTTTAAATATGTTGTATTAAGAATAAATGAGTTTTGCAAAATCTTCCCTTGACAAGTTAATGATAACTTATAATAATAGAATAATAACAGTTGAATAATAACTTCAAATTCCAATTTAAAACTTACTTTGTGACACTTTTTAATACAGTGATGCAAGCCACATGGTAACATTTTACCGCATAGTCTTCCACAAGATACATTCACCAAATGACAAGGAATATTTTTCCATGTCTGAAAAAAATAAACTGATATAATTCCATCAAAAGGTAAAAAATAAATTAAAAATAGTATAATAAAACCATGAACAGAAAAATTTGAATACCTCATGGCCACCCATACATTGTTTTGAAGTTAACACTGTGCAAGGTGGGCATACATCTTCATTGTGACATGTATGTTGAGCTGAAATAAAAAGCTTTTTATAAAAATGCTGTCAACTAATTTTTTAAATACTTATTACTTACTACACCAACAAAAAATGAAAAAATTAAAGTCACATTCTATCACATCTACGCAAATTTCATAAGTTTGAACTTATTTGTACTTGGATGACCACAAGGATGGTTTCTTGTGCAAGGTTTAGAACATTCAGGAGGTTTGGCACCACAAGCAATCGGCGGATATAAAATGGTAGCACCACAGAAACAAGCCAGTTCTTCAAAGCCTGTTGAATAAATTTGCAATGGCTTAATAATTAAGGAAAAAGGATTTAAAATACTATAATATCAACATCTGTAGAACAACAAATCATTTTAGAGTAAGCTTTAATTATATATATACATATATATATATATATATATATATATATATATATATATATATATATATATATATATATATATATATATATATATATATATATATATATATATATATATATATATATACTATAGCATATTTATATGCGCAATTGCTCACTTTTTTTGCTAGCCTAAATTAAGTGAGCGTTTTTAGACAAATATTAACATAAAGTACTACATAAAATAAATACCTAAATAAATACGACACAGCACTATCAAAAATATTGAAAATAACGCAAACATTACTAGAAATATTAGTGATGGTAATAATAATAATAATAATAAAAATAATAATAATAATAGCAATAATAACAAATATTAATAATAACAATAATCAAAAAAAAAGTCTAGAGTTACACATTTTTTTGTTGAATGTTTTTGCTATTGTTGTTAGTTCTTTTAATTTATTATTTTGTAATAACTTTTTTTATAAATGGTTTAACTTGACATCAAACATTTATGTTAGGCTGCTTTATTAATTAAATTTTTAATGAACTCTTGATATTTAAAAAAATCAAAAACTACCTGCTCTCCAACAGGGAGGACAAAAGCCAGCATGACATACTTCATCACATTTATGAATGCCACATGAAAGTTTTTTCCCACAAATTATGTTACAAGTGTGATCCCGATCAATGCAGCATTTTTGGTTGCATTTATGACGACCACATTTGCGTTTTTTATTGCATTTTCGTTCACAAAGTATAGGTTCCCCTAAAGCAACATATGATAGTTTACAATAAAACAACAGGATAGTTTACAAAAAAACAACAGGATAGTTTACAATAAAACAAAATTAGATAGTTTACATAAACATTCCACTAAAACAACATAGGATAGTTTACACAAAAAGTTTGCAAAAAGAAAAAAGTTCAAATAATATTTGCACAAAATAATTTATTGAATGTCGCATACCTGGGACTATATCTTTACAGAATATTTCCTAAAAATAAAAAGAAACTATGTCATATAGGCTTTCTTTTGCTTTTGAAATACACAATAAGTTAATTATTTCTTTTAACCTCCAAAGGACTGAGAAAATAGTTTGAGTTAATGAATGTACAAGTTATAGGGACATTCTATAACACGAACTTTTGCTGATAAGTAAAAATAATTTGAATTATCAAAAGTTTTTATACCAAAGGTAAAAATAATACATTATAAATTTAAAAATGTTCTAATGTCACTCTGTCTTAAGTTTGAAGAAAGGCCTCTATCAAATATAATTAAAACTGCATTGGGCTTTTGACCACATAATGCCTTGATCCAATGGTTAAAGTTTAGACATGGATTCTATGTTAAAAAAATGAGCTCAATAGATTTTAAATTATCAATTGTTAGGTGTGCTGGGCATTTATCTATTATAAATGCTTCTTTTTTTTTTTCTTTTATAAACTTTGTATCCATTTCCATATCTACTCTTCAAACAGTGCGCTATCCATCCAGCTTTTATTTTAATTTCTGTATCTGCAAGGTAAGTGCTTTACTCCTTTGAAGCAGCGAGCGCTTAACTTCTTTGAAGCAGGTGATTTTGATTTACCTATTTCAAACAGGAATTTTATCTCTTGCTGCATTTTCTGCGGCCAACCCAGTAAGACAAATTATACTGTGCTTTCCCCCTATACAAGCCTCAGATTAAAAATTTACTAACTTATTAGGTTGCATACAAAAAAAAAATCCAAATTGAATTGCATTATAAATTTCATCAAGTTTATACCTGGATAAAATTCTAGATTTTACTGAAAAAACTAATACCAATGGATTTCAAGCATCAGACACTTAAAATCTTTTAATCTTTTCAGTAAGTTCTCTCGTTTTTGTTTTTAGAATTGATGCTGATACGTTTCTACTCCTTACATTTAAAAGCCATTAAAAAACAAGATTATCTTAATTTGAAAATGTTCCTTCTTTAATTCTCATACGTTTTGACTTGTTCCCTAGCGCCTTCATAAATTTTTCTTTATTTTTGATCCATGTTGACAGCATACTTTTTAGAACGCCGTATTTCATAGCAACCTAAGACTTCAATAATCTTTCTTCAATTTCCATTAAAACAGCATTCTTTTCATTCTCTTATTTTTTTTATTATTCAATTTTTTTTATTATTGTGTTTAACTACTTTATTTATTAACTGAAGGTAAGTAGTTGATTTAAAATAGTATCTCGTTGTAAAAGTAATTTCTTTGAATACCTTGTTTAGTGGTGGATTTTTGTTATGCTAAGAAAAACTATTTTATTTAACATTTTAATTAACTTTCAAGTTGCAAATACTTATTGAAATAGACAAACAACAATTACTTTGGTTATTATTTATTATTTATAAAAGTACACATTTTTATGATCAATTTAAATCGTTTAAAACTTTTTCTTTAATAAATTTTATAAACATCAATTCGATTTAGTGTCTTTAAAGGAAAAAACGTTCGCACTTTTTTAACTTTAAAGTTAAGTAACTTTAGTTAACATTTTTAACTTTTTTAATGTTACAGATAAATGTGTAATAAAAAAGAGTAATAATAATAAATAAAAGATTTTTAATTAATGCTAGTAATTATCCCTAGTTAAAAAGGTTAATTTCAACTGCATCATTAAAAAAATAATTCCGAAGAAAAAAAGAACATTGTAGGGTAGTTCAAAAACAGTTTCTTTTATTTTAATTAGTCTTTTTAGGTTTAATTTCTTTTATCTTTTGTTGGCAATTTATTTTAGGCTATTTTTTTTTTTTAACTTTCTCATAGTTTAGTTTTTTCAACACATTGAAATAATTAAATATCAACATTTAACAATCGATTTAATATTTAAAAATATCAATATTTACATATATCAAATTTTAAAAATATCAATATTTACATATATCAAATATATATATATATATATATATATATATATATATATATATATATATATATATATATATTGGGTTGTAACATAAGTTTGTAGAGTTTTGCGTTAGAGTTATTTTACAACGATTTGTTTTGTTTTTTAGCAAAGTGTATACATTCATTCGAAAGAGCTCTTTCCCGTCTACAAAACGGTTTTATTTGATTTTTTGGATAATTTAATTGTGCGTCTTTTTTCTGGCTCAGAAATGGAATACCCAGGAGGAAAAAATCAGCGTTTTCGACATCTGCTTTTCTTTGCTTTTCATCGAGGTCAAAAAGCAGCCGAAGCAGCTCCGGACATATGCAGTGTGTACAGGGAAGGTGTCTTAGGTGTGTCTACTGCACAAAAATGGTTCGGAAAGTTTAAAAACGGCGACTTTGACCTTGAAGACACGCCTCGAAGCGAACGACCTGCAGAATTCGACGAAGAGCATCTGAAGGCACTATTGAAGGAAAATGGTCGCCAAACAACTTGTGAATTGGCTGAAAAAATAAACATCAGTGCATTGACAATCTCTCGCCACCTTCAATCAATTGGTTTTACTCAAAAACTCGGAGCATGGGTACTCACAAGCTCAACGAAGAAAACTAAGAAAAACGCCTTCAAATTGCTGCTTAACATCTCGCCCGCCACCGAGCAACACATGGAAAAAAACTGCGCTTTTTGTATCGAATCATCACGGGAGATGAGAAATGGTGTCTGTACATCAATTTGAAGCAAATAAAGGAGTGGGAGGCCCCAGGAGAGATGCCGAAGCCGAGAGTCAAGCAAGATCTTCACCCAAAAAAGGCCATGATCTGCGTTTGGTAGGACTGGGAAGGCATGGTGCACTGGGAAATGCTCGAATGAAACGCCACTGTCAACAAGGAGGTCTACATTGCCCAGCTGAACCATGTAAATGAGGCTATTCGGCTGAAAAAATCTGATAGACAAGGTCAAGTCATCTTGCTCCACGACAATGCCAGGCCCCATATTGCCCAAGTCATCAAAACAGCACTCCAAGAGCTTGAATGGGAGGTTCTTCAGCATCCACCGTACTCTCCGGATCTTGCACCTACCGACTATCATCTTTTCTGCTCTCTATCAAACCAAATGAGGGGTGTTACCTTTGATGGCAAAGAGGATCTTAAAAACTGGCTTAACAATTTCTTCGACACCAGACCGACCAATTTTTGGCAAAACAGCATCAACGAATTGGTCGAGAGATGGGAGGAGGTCGTAAACAGTAACGGAGAATATATCATTGATTAGTTTATTATTATAATTATTGTTTTTTGTTCAAATAAATCTTTATGAAAAAACTCTACGAACTTATGTTACAACCCAATATATATATGTATATATATATATATATATATATATATATATATATATATATATATATATATATATATATATATATATATATATATATATATATATATATATATATATATATATATATATTAGTGTGTCTAAAAAAACAACATTTTTGAAAATAATCTGCTCTTACCCCCTAAATGTGAGAAAAATATATATTAGTGTGTCTAAAAAAACAACATTTTTGAAAATAATCTGCTCTCACCCCCTAAATGTGTTCTATCTAATGCAAAAACACTAGGTTTAAATTTTTTTTTTAATAAAAAATATTTTAAGGGGTCCCTCAAGACCCTCGAATATATAATGGGTCCCTAATATTTTCGAAAAAAAAGTTTTTCAAAAATATGTCAACCTGGTACTCAAATGAAGTGAAATTATATAAAAATTTTAAAAATAATATTCATTTCGAAACAAAATTGTTATTTTTGGTTTTATTACATAAAAAATTGCGTTTTTTAAGAAAAAATGAAAAAAATGCATTTCTAATGTTTTTTATGATAACTTTGATAAATAAGTTAAAAATATTTCGAAATGAATATTATTTTTGAAATATTTAAATAATTTCGCTTCATTTGAGTACCAGGTTGACATATTTTTGAAAAACTTTTTTTTCGAAAATATTAGGGACCCATTAAATATTCGAGGGTCTTGAGGAACCCCTTAAAATATTTTTTATTCAAAAAAAATTTAAACCTAGTGTTTTTGCATTAGATAGATATTTAGGGGGTGAGAGCAGATTATTTTCAAAAATGTTGTTTTTTGGGACACCCTAATATATATATATATATATATATATATATATATATATATATATATATATATATATATATATATATTTTATATATATATATATATATATATATATATATATATATATATATATATATATATATATATATATATATATATATATATATATATATATATATATATATATATATTTTCCATGCCATTTCATAGGCATTTCTGTCTTGCAGTAAAAATGTAAAAAGAAAAAAAAAATGTCATGAAATTAAACATTCAATAGAATTAAATCTAGCACTTATAGATAACTTCATGCCTTATCCAACTGTGCATGTGTAGATGATAATGCAACATAACTTTGTTAAACTAATGCTCCTAAAATCTTTTTAACAACAGTAAAGTAAAAAATATTATTTAGCATTAATAAACTAGTAAAAAAATACTTTGATCAATTCAAAATGTTAAAACTGCATTTAGAAATAAAAAATACCTTTTTAGAAACTCCACATCTACACTGCACAGTTGAGACCTTCTCACATGGTCTGCACTTTCCTGTGTGACACTTCTGCATGCATAAATGAGATGAACCTAAAAGAATTATATACATCTACCAATGCATTTTAAGTAAGCACAGTTTACTATGGCTGCTGACTTTAATTTTCAAAATTCCTTCTGTAAAAGATATGATTACCAAGAAAAAGAAGATATATATGTAGGTTTAAGCTCAGTAATTTTATAAATGCATATTAATATGCAATTTTAGAAATATTTTTAATATTTCTAAAATTGCATATTAATATAAAAATATAGAGTATTTTTTTTCCTGTTGTTGTAACACTGATTAATGAATTTAAACAAAAAGCAAATAAAATAACAATAAGGTGGGTCTGGTAATGAGGTGGCGCTTTTGATTTGTAATGTGCAAATCTAAAGTTACTTATACTTTAAAAAATGAACATGTTTTAACAACCTTAAGCAGAATTCGGACTCTATTTTATGCAGACTCTATTTTATTATACATTATAATATATTAGACAATACAATATTTTAAATCTTAGTTCAATTTTTTTTTTAATTTTTAACTATACCCTTAATTTTTTTAAATGCTGTAGCATTAAAAGATTGCCTAAGTGCCAAAACAAAGTGTTTTCATATCTTAAATAAACCTTGGAAAACAATTTAATTAAAGTTGCTAATACATTATTTATTGAGATTAACTGAAAACTTCATTTTTAAACTTTTTTTTTTTGCAAAGGAAATTTCAGGCCATTTGAATTTTTTTTTTTTAATCTGGTCTGAATAGTGCGTTTATTGTTGATGTCAATAAAAATAAACATTGTTGTAAAAGTTTAAAGTTAAATACTACAATTAATAATAAAAGTTATATTTTAAATTTTATGTTTTCCTAAAAATTGCAAGGTGAAATAGAATTTTTAAATTATATTATTGTAAATGATATTTTTATTCATATCCAAATTGAAAAAATTTAGCAAATTAGATTAAATTAACAAGACTTAGCTAATTAGAATGTTTAAACAATTTTAAAAAAAAATATTTAACAGCATTAATTTATCATTACTAATGTTGTCAATTATTGAAACTAATTATTAATAAATACAATATTTCAAAAGAAGAAAAAAAATAGCAACAAATAAACCAGACAAAATTTAAAAAATGTTTAAATTCTGTTAAAATATGTAATTAGGTGCCACGTAATTAGTAATTAAAAAACTAAATTAAAAAAATATATTTTGGTATACTTTTTTTATTGTTTATGTACATGCTTACGGTTATAGAAGCTTATTCCTACTTATTTTATTTATTGTTCTTATACTTTTTACTTCTTAATTCTGATAAAAAGATCCTTTTTATTTTTCTAAAGATTATTTACCTTGCAATTTTGTAAAAGTTTTTTTTTTTTTTCCTCTTATCTTTGTTAAATGCTTATTTAAGGTTTGTACAATACTGTAATTAGTGTTGAAGAACACTATAAAAATCTCAACTTTAATTTTTACTTTAATATTGCGCTCTTCTAAACAAAAAAAAGGAGAATATTGACCCTATATATAAAATTCTATAAAATGTACAACACCTGTATAAAAGTCAAAAGCTACAAAAGTCTTACTTACATTTGCTTAATTTTAAAAATAAAACAAATATAAGTACAGTATAAATCTAATATTTTAGCAATATCTCAATAAATAACTTTATTGATAGCTCAATGGTTAAGCGCGATGTCATCAGTTTTGTTTTGGGGGGTTTAAGACCTCTACTCAGAGTAATAAATTTTGAAATTTTTAAATGAAGGGCAAATCTAAAATTGAAATTTTAAATTTTTGACTTGGATGAGACAATGTTTTGTTTTTTTTCAATCTTGTCAATTTGGTTTAGTGGCTTTTGTTAAGAGATTTTAAATTTTGCGTCAAATTATCTCATTTTAACTCTTTGCATCATCCATACTGCAGCCTGTTTTCCAAAACGCCCTACGGTAAAAAAAAATCAATTTTGACTTTTTTACAAAATAAGCTAGTTTAGATCTTTACAAACGTTATTTTCAAAAAGTTCTGAAAAAAATCATAAAGATTATTAGTTTCAAAACGTTTTACAAAGAGTTTTTCTTAATAATTTTTTTTTAAAAGTGTTTTTCTTGAAATATGTAATAAGCATATTAAGGTGTTTTGAAAAATGGCTGCAGCATATATTTATAGCAAAAAAAACTTTTAATTGTCAAAAGAAAGTTTCAAAGTTTTTTCTAGCTATGGGCTTTTTGTTTGCCTTCACAGCAGCACTTTCTTTAGTAGCAGGACTGTCTTATTAAGTTTTTTCTTTATTAAGTTTCAGACAATTTTTTTTTCAGACCATCCATAGCTTTTTAGGACTAATTACCTGAGCACAATAATAAAATAAGTGTCTCAATCATGGCAAATACACAACAAACTTTTTCTCCCAGTGTTTTAATGTTGTTAGAAAAAATTTAGCTTTTTTAAAAATCTTTTCGTTTGTTAAAGTGTATAATATTGTTAAATATGTTTGTATATAATCTCTATAAAACTTTAAAAGTATTTTGTATTTTAAAATAAAAAAAAAAAAAAAAGTCACCAGTGGTAGGGCTGGCACCATCGGCTTATTAGTTCAGAGGCTCAGCGTGCTTTCCACTCGGCCACGCTGGCATATTGATAAGTGAAAATTTTTAAAACTATATAATTTTTTTAACGGAAATAAATGCTCTAGATCAAAATTAAGGAGAGCTTGATGCAATGCAATTTTCAAATGAAAGTCAAACTGTAAAACTTTCATAAAAATGATACATGTTTCTGTATGTTTTAACATAACTTAATTTGAAATTTACGCTAGATATTTTCATACACTATTGCTCACATTTTCTTACAACAAAATGTACTGCGACGCTTTCTTGCCACTACCTCGGTTGCAATGGCTGCCAAGGGTTCTGTGTCAAACATGCTCCAAAAGGGCACTAATACTACTAAAAGGATTAAGTTCGGAAATAATATATAGAGATTAATAAGTAGTAACAATTACCTTTTGGTCCACAAGGTAGCTTTTTCCCACAAAAACTTTCACAAGTTGGTATATCATCTGTGCAAAACTTTCTTGATACATCTTTTGGAAGCAAATCAACAATATTCACTTTTCCACATGGACATAATGTAACATATTTTGGTAGCAATAAACAATCTGAACAATTGCCAGAATGACAAATAGCTTCACATTTATGAATGGCACACTTTTTTTCACTAAACAACAGATTCATTTGTAATAAGCACAAAAGGTAAATATTTGTCATGTTAATATGAAAAAATATTGTCAATAAGAAATAAAATTTCTAATTCATTGAAATATAAAAATATAAAAAATATAAAATTTCTATTTCATTGAAACACCTTAAATTTTATTAGGTGTAAACAACTAATCACAAAAGACTACAATATGTAATATTTACCGCCCACAAGGCTTATTGCAAGAGTATTTTCCTTGGTAATTATCTAATGCATCTGGCTGACGATCTTTAACAATTTCACCTAAATTCAATGCAATAAACAATTTCAAAAGGTATCATATTGGCTTGTTAAAATTCTTTTCTATTTCATATATAAAATAGTTAAAACACACAGTGGAATCCAAACAAACCATTTTCTGATACAGGTAATTTTTTTTATACTCTACTTTTCCAAAATTCAGATATAATATTGCTGGTCACAACATTTACTTATGCTTTAAATTTTTTCAAATCAAGTAGTCGTATAATGATTAATGACAAAATGTTTAGTTTCTTAAAACTTAAAGCAGAAATAATCTTGGTAAATAAAGAGAAAACTCTTATTTTCAATTACCTGTACCACACACAACAAATCTTTTTTCTTTACCACAAAAGCATCCTACAAAAAAGTATAAATATAAATTGTTTAATTTTACACGAAAAAATGTGTAAGCACTTTATTATAATTGTATTTTAGATTAAAATAAAATAGTATACACTCAGTCAAGAGTGAGGAATCCAAACTACATGTAGTTTGTAACTAAAACAGCAAAAAAACAAAAATAGTAAATTTAGATAAATTAAAGTTTAAATTTAAAAAGTTCAATGAAATTGTTTTTAAATTGATTGATAAATAACTGCATCTATTGTTATTTGTTCAAGATTCTCCATTCATTTATCACTTTACTGGTAAAAATGTTCTGAAAATTCATATTTGTTTTCTTAGTTTAATATTGTGACCTCCTAGTTTTACAGTTGCTGTCTAGTATTTCTGGTTGTCAATGAAGACTTATAATACTACACCCTTTAAATTATTTAAACTATTGTATCAGATAACCCTTTTGCTGTTATCCAGTGATAGTAAAACTAAATTTTTTAATTTTTCTTCATAATTGTATTCTTTCCAAATTTCAATTCCAGTTGCTCTCTGTTGGATGAAATCTCTAGTTTATTATACTGCCAATACTTTAGATAGTTTATGTTCATTATACTGCCAACAAAAACTTCAGACAGAAATTGCATATTACAAAGGTGGACAAATTGATGCTATGAATAAGAGTTTTGTCTTTTTTTTTTGTCTAAATATTTAGAAACTTCTATTCCTGCCTGGATCCTGGAGGTTATGTAGGAGACACATTTATCAGCTGAGAGAGAATAGATTTCAGCCCAAGGACTGTCACAAAGAAAATCACAAAAAGAATCCCAGTCAACTTTAGGGTAGTAGGAAATAGTGTAATGATAGGGTGAGTCTAAAGAAGAAATATGAGATAAAAGATTAATAGAGATAATTGCATTGTCAAAACCACCTAAAGGAGAAAAACGAGAAACTGAACACAAGCTAGGGTCAGAGATAAGACACAAATCAAAGAGTGAAGGTATTATGTAATTAGGGTTGTCTGGAAAATGAGTCACAAACTTAACTATTTGAGTAAAAGATTGAGAAATGCAGAAGTTATAGACTTTTATGCCAACAGGGTCAGTAATGTAAGATAGGGCTGGCTGGTAGTAAGATACCTTACTACCAGTTGGCCTCAGAACTGAGTTTTAGAGCTGAACGCTCATTAGGAGATAATAGGAAGAGTTGCATAGCCACTATTAAGGAGGCAAAAATCTATGAGTAGAGTAAAGAAAATGTATCGTTTATCATCCTAGGCAAAAAAATATGCAACACAGGTTTACATCTAGGCCAGCCTAATTAATGGAATAGAGAGTTCGATGCTGGTCAACAGAATCCCTTAAGTCCTTGCCTAAAAAGCCTTCTACAAGACAGTTGCTGGATACAGTTAACATTTGCCCAAGATGAGTAATTTTATCCTCAAGTCTTTACTTAACCCAAGAGCGCTAGGTAGGGGATTTTTAAGTCAGAGTTTGTTTCTCTTAGCAATTGCCTAAAAAGGCAAACCCTATAAGGCAGCAGGGCATGGAGCAGGTAGTACTGGGTTACATAATACTAGTAGTAAGGTGATCATGATGATCCTGAACCTGAATTGACCTGGGATACACAGTTATAAGTGCATTAATCACTTTTGTATATTAGAAATTTTGTGAAGGATGAAAAAAAATTAGATTTGAAACTATATAAATAAACAAAAAGTTGACTGTAAAAAGAACATGAAAAATTAACTTAAATTAAATATGATAGAATTTTCTTATCTTTAACATAGTTTGGAAATTTTAAAAGTAAAAAAAAACTTTCAAATTAAAACTAAATTTTTTAAATTTAATAAAATTAAATTAAACTTTTTTATTAACTATAAAGAAATTTAAATTAACGATATATTTTTTATCAAAAGAAATCATTATTTCACAATTGCAGTGAAATGTTTTTTTACAATTAACTACTGCTTATTGTTTTTCACATAAACTATTTTAAAAAACTGTTTAAATAATCTTATTGAAAAAAGTTTTGATGGCTTAAAGTGTAGGTAAAAATCTGTACATAAAATGAGAACAGGGTAACGCTTCATAACAAGGCCTGAAATATGTTAAACTTAAGTTAGACATGGTTTCTTAAAATAAAAATTTTACATTTTAATGGACAATAAAAAATATACCTTCAGCAAATTCTACTTCACAAACTTGGCAAGCACCTTAAATTTAAAAACAACTTTACTTTAAGTAGGTTTATTTATTTTTGTGATGATATTTACTTGTTTAATTATTTATTATTTAAGAGTTGTTTATTTACAACTGTTATAATATTATGTAATAAAACACTTTAAAAAAGAGTTATATAAAACATTTTTACCTTCATGACACTTTAATTGACAATTATGTTTACCACACTTTAAAAGCTTCGAACATATGTTATCACAGATAATTGGTTTAATTTGTCCACAACGAATTTTTGAACTGAAAATTTATTTAGTGAATAATCAGCAGTTAAAAAAATCATTAAAAACTAATACCAATCAAAAATAACAAAATATTTATTACTAACATTGTTTTAGTGCAGGGACAATGTTTTGTAACCATCACAGGACAACTAGGACATGGTCCAGGATGACACAATCTAAATAAAACATAAAAAAACTAAAAGTTATTTATTATTAGAATAAATTTTAAACTAAGAATTTAAATTTAATTATAAAAAAATATAAGCAAAGTAAATGTCTATTATTAATAACATAGACATGCAAACTTCAAATTTAGCAAAAAACTTTGATTATTATATTAATACTTAAGGTAATTCCATGTCAAATGACACAGACATTTTTAAAAATGTCACCCTATATCTCAGATTTTGCTGATTTTTAGACAGTATTTAGTAAAATGAGAATTCCTTGAAAATTTTTAATTTTTAAGGAATTTATTTTAGGATCTTCTTGGATCCTCTGACTACAAAAAGATCCTAAAAAATGACCCTTTTACTTTAAACAGATGTTTGCCAGGCCCATCTTGTCCCCTTAAAATTGCATTGTTTATTTAGAGGTTTAAAGTAACATATCTTAAAAAATATTTAATTTTTTTACTTAAAAATTTATACCTGGCTATTTTCAGCGGTTGCGAATCCAATACATGATATGTAAGGTAAAAAATTATTTTTGTGTACCTGCATTTATCAATTTAAATAAACTTAAAATTTTTTTTTAATAAAGTACTTTATTAAAAATGCAAAAAAACAAATTTTTTTAATTTATTTTTTTGCATTTTTAATAAAGTAAAGATTACTTTGGAAATATTGTTTTCAAATATTTTTTTGGAATATATTTGTTCCATTTAGTTTTTAAACATTCTGTATTCAATGATCTTTCTTAAAATGTTTTAAGAAAGTACATATGTGTATTAGATTTTTGATTTGCAAGTAAATGGATTAAAAACACTCATCCATCTAAAATAATGATTTTAACAGAATTTTACATTGTTATATTTAAAACTTTTTGAATTGAAAAGAAAACAGACAGAACAACATTGATCTGTTTAAAAACAAAAATTGAAGAATACAAACTGATGTTATCAGAGGCAATAAACAAATTAACAGCTTATCCCTACATCGCAAAATGTCAAGGAAGATACCTAAGGGAACAAAAAGAAAAGTTGGTAAAAGACTGTATTGCCTAAGTGATTTTGCAGAAAATTACACATTTGTGATTCAAGATGAAATCCAAAGTTAGCATTTGTGCCAAAGTCAATGCCAGTTACACCCCGTTACCCTTTATTTATTTAACGAAAATGACCAGCTTAAAGAAAGATCATTATGCTATAAGCCGGAAGATAATGAGCATGACACGTTTTGTGTATGAGTTTCAGACACAAATAGTTAATTATCTAAAAGAAAATCATCCTAATATTTCAAAGATTCTTTATTTCTTAGATTGTTGAGCTGCACGGTATAAAAACCATAAAAACTTTTACAATATCTGTTTCCATAAAGATGACTTTGACAATGATTCAGAGTGGTTATTTTTTGCTACAAGTAATGGTAAGCCACTATGTGATAATATTAGTAGCACTGTAAAATGATTAACTGCAATTGCAAGTCTACAGAGGCACAAAAATGACCAGATATTGAATTGAAGGGATTAATTTTGAAAAAACATTTACAGCTTAGCAACCTTAGAAAAAATGAGATCGGCAATAATTTGCCGACCTCAATTTTTTTGATCGGCAATCTTTTGGTTGGCAAAAATTATTTGATACAAAGGTCTGACCATAAAACATAGAAATGAGGTTGGCAATTTTTTTCCAATCTCAAACACTTTCAGGTCAGCAGTTAGGTCAACATTGCCGAATGCCGACCCTAAGTCCAAGGATTGGCTAAGTAGAACAATTCCTGGAACTAAGAGCTATCATCAATTTAACCCAGAATCTATAGATACTGTTAGCTTTAAAAAAACAAGTGAAGATTTTAACATAACAGGCATGTTTTCTTTTTCTGGAATTCAAAGTAACCTAATCCAGGCTTGGACAGGAATGGTGTGCGATCCCACTCTGTAACTGACCATGCTAATAACTTTTTTTTTTCACACTATGACCACGACTGTTTTATTGTTTTAACAATTTAAACGCAATAAAAAAATCATTACATTATTATATTATGTTATATGAATAACAATTAACCGTTGAACTTTTCTAACATTTTTATTTTACGCGAAGACTTTAAATGAAATAAAAAATTAATTATAATGATTGTTTAAAATAAACGCATTTTGTGTAAATTTAATATGAAAATTTAGTAGGCATGTATTTTTTATGATAAATTTAAACATTTGAAATTATTTTTCCATGTTCTTCTAAAAATCTTTCTTAAGATTTTATTAAATACTATAAACTATGAATAAGTTTAATTAAAATCTTCTCATTGCAATCAAATGATTTAACTACTTTATTTTTTTTGTTTCTATTATTACAAAGAATTGTTTAAAAGCTTTTTTTTACAACATTTTTTTTAACTTGCTTTTTTGTCAGTTTGTTTATTTTGGTGTCCGCGCAAAATAAACATGAGGTCAGCGGTAATAATAAAAGAAATTGTTAAAAAAGTAGTTAAAAAAAAAACAACGCAAAACATACTTTGGTTTAGCATAAATAAAAGAAATCATTAAGAAAAGTAATTAAAACAAAGTAAATAATAAAAAAAAATATAAAAAAACTTTTTAAAAACAATATTTTAAAAATAGACTAATGAGTAAAAAACAAAATATTTCATGAGAAATTTGTGTATGTACACCACCTGAAATATCCATTAATGTCAATGACTGAAAATGTTGGGTGCCAATAGGAACAAGTTGTACTTAGTTGCCCAACTTTTCAGTTATTGACTTTAATGGATATTTCAGGTTGTGTACATACACAAAGTACTTGGGTCTCATGAAATTTCAATAATTTAGTTTCATTTCTTTTCAATAATTTAGTTTCACTTTTTGAATAAACATCAATTTAAATAAAATTTGTTGATTCATTAAACAATCATTAGAAGTAATTTGTAAAAGCGTTTTATGTAACTTTGATAAAACGTTCCAAAAGATAACTTTAAAAGTAATTTATTTTAACTGTGATTAAAAACAAAAAGTAAATTTTGTCTCAAGTTTGAGTTTTTTGAGTTTTATTTTAAAGCTTATATATTTTCTTTTTCGTGAGGAATTGTTTCCTTTTTTTCAGTTTTTTTAATTTTTTTTCATTGTTTTCAGATTTTTCAGACAAAAAAAGACTTAAAAAGGCTTAGCTAAACTGTTTAGCTTTGTGTTTCTTTTTTCAGCGCATTTGTGAAATCATCAAAACATCTAAACAGTTGTGGTCAAGTTGTCAACAAAAAAATATAAAAAAATCATTTACATGGTCAGCAATAGCATTCAATTGCACGCCATTCCTGTCCAAGCTTGCTAACCAACTAATTAACATCAATACATTGAAATTTCATGAATATATTCTGTGTAAATATGATTGTTTCATTGGATTAGTATGTAACATTTATGCATCTGCACAGTCCTTTTAACAAATTTTTCAGGCCATCTAGAGCAGTATTGAATTCCAATAACCAACATAATTTGTATCAATGATGCCCCTGTAACAAAAACTGAACGCATTTATACTTTGACCGTTGATGCATCTAAGCAAATCCTAACACAATCTTGAAACTCAATACTTTTGTATTTTACTTTGTAAATAATTAAATAAAATGAAACGAGTACAAACCAAAAGGTTTTTTGAAGACAACATTCAGCACTCTTCTTCTTATTCTGTAACCTCAGGGGTTCCTCAAGGTTCAATCCTTGGCCCTATAGTCTTTTTAATTTACATTAACGATCTTCCAGATATTCTCACATCTAAGGTGGCATTGTTCGGTGATGATACTACCATTTATTCTTGTCACAATAAAAAGTCAACTCTCTCTGATTGCTTCCAGGGGGCATTTGAGCTTGAAAAGGATCTCACTTCTGCTACAGCATGGGGCTCACAGTGGCTGGTGAACTTTAATTCAGATAAAACTCAATTTTTTTTAGCCAATGGTTATCGCAATAATTTAGACCTTTCTATATTTATGAACGGTAATGTACTCAATGAGTCATCTACCCTTCATCTTCTAGGATTAACTCTCACTTCTGATCTTTCTTGGAAACCTTATATCAAACCCGTTGCAAAATTAGCATCTGCTAAAGTTGCATCTTTTTATAGAGCTCTAAATCTTTCTTACTCTGGATTCTATTCTCTATCTCTATAAATCTCAAATCCGGCCTTGTATGGAATACTGTTGCCATATCTGGGGCGGATCTTCTAATGATGCCCTTTCTCTTTAAACAAGGTGCAAAAACGCATTGTAAACATAGTTGGACCTGCTCTTGCAGCCAACCTTCAACCTCTGTCACATCGTCGTAATTTTGCTTCTCTCTTTTCTACAAATACTATAATGGGCACTGCTCTAAAGAGAAAGTGTCTCTTGTGCCATCTACTAAAATTTATTCTTGTGTTACTCGTCATTCAATTAAGTCTCATCCTTTTTCTGTTACTTTTCCTAAGTGCTTCAAAAACTCTTATTCGTCTAGTTTTTTTCCTCGAACATCAGTTCGAGGAAAAAAATGCAGTCTTTTAAGTCAATCGTTATCTTGCTCTACAATCTTCATCTTTTCTCTTCCAGTAACTTTCAACACTAATTGTGGTTCCTTTCAGCCTTGTTGGAAGCGATGTTAAAAAAAAAAAAAATTTTTAAGTTATCTCTACATTATTGAAAATTCAAAAAAAGAAACAAACGTTCATCAGGACTACTCAAATGCTGAAAGTTTCAGAGCTCCAGCTTATCTGGAAAGTAGTGAAAAATCTATCACAAGATTCCACTATTCTTGGGGCCCTGAAAACATTTTTAACACGCACAATCATTGGCATTACAAAAATCCCAAAATTTTTAGAGCTTTAGCTAGTATGGAAGGTAGTAAAAAATCAATTGCAATATTCCGCTACAAAAATGTGGGAACTATGCCCCATTATCCATATATGGAAATCCATGTACTTGTAGATCAGAATCTTTATATTTTTTGAAAGATCAATGAATATAGAATAATATGTAATATTTTTATTTTGGATATCATCAAGGCCACATGGGTTTCTTGAGCATTAAAAAAAGGTATATAAAAAATTGCCTAAATTTATTTAAATCGGTAATTACAGATACTTAATAATAATTTTTTACACTTCTGATCATTTCACTGGATTCATCACACCCAAAAACAGCAAGTTAAATTTTTTAGTAAAAAAAATCAAATAAAAAAGTTCACTTGAAAAAAATGTCACTTGAAACCTCCAAATAAATGATTCAATTTTAAGGGGAAAAGAGGGACCTGGACAATATCTACTAAAAGTAAAACAGTCATATTTCAGGATCTTCTTGGAGCCAGAGGCTAAAATTTTGAAGGAGTTCTTATTTTATTATGCTCTCTTAACTGTATGAAAATCAGAAATTCGAAGGATTTCAAGCATGCCAACCTTAGCCAAAAAAAAATTGGATTTTTTGCTTTCTGTTACGACAGGGGTAATGATTAATTAATTATAAAAGGATTGCTTTATAATAGCATAGCTTCAGACAATAATATTTTAAAGAATCTAGCAATAAAATGTAATATTTTAAAGAATATGTTGTTTGGACTTTAACACTGTCAGAGGAATCAGCAGCACTTTCTTTTTTGGAATTAATAGTATCAGAAGTTTTTTTCTCCGTTTTACTCATTCTTAAGACAGCTGCCGCATGCATATGAGAACATAAAATATTGTATGAAAAGTTATTTTTTATTTTATAACTGATGTTTCCCGTACAAACTTTTATGTGGCTAATTTAGCAGTCTTTATTTTTATTTAAACATTATTTGCTAATTTAGCACAGTCTCCATTTTAATTTTTTAAAAGCTCTGAATACTCTTGGCAAGTTTTACACCAAATTAAAGTTACTTTACCTGAAAAACCTTAAATGCTTGAATAAATTTAAGAAGAAAAAAAAAATGAATTGAAAAAATGAATGAATTTTGTTTTAATGAAACATGTCAAACTTAAAAAGCAAGTAATTACCATAAATAAATTATAAATTAATATTTAACGAATATTACATATTTTTTACATGTATTTCAATTCGCATGTCAACACTTTAGGATAGTCAGGTCAGCAATTGTATGCCGTCCTAAAGATAGGTTGGCTTTTGCGTCAGCATTGCAGAATGCCGACCTGAATTTTGCAAACTGAATGTATTGTCAGTAAGTATAAACTTTGACTATAAAAAAAGTATAATATTAAAATAATTTAAGTTTTTAAAACTTATAAAACGGAGTTAAAACCAGAGCAAATTTGTCAAATGTTCTAAAAAAAAAAACTTACTCGCTGCAACCATGATCACAGGTCACTAAACGTTTCTTTTTACAAATTTCACCACAACCTGAAAATCATATATTTATTTGAAAATAGTTGTAAATACTATTAAGTATGAGCTTATTAAAACTTTTTTTTTTTTTTTTAATTACACTCAATTAAATGATCAATTAAAATGTCAAAAGTTACCTATATGTTTATTTTGTTACTTACTATGAGGAGTTATGCCATCTCTTGGATTCCAATCTGGATCACGTATTTTACCTTAAAAATAAATAATTTTTCAATTACTAAATAAAATTTAAACAAAGTAAACACTTCATATTAGTAGACTAATTTTAAAGATCATTAAAATTAACTGAAGATGATAAAAAGTTTTTTGTTTTCAAATTCTTTTAAAAATCGTTCAAAAAACATAGTTAAACCCAAAATATTATTAAACTGGATAAGATGGTCAAGAAGCAAATTACAACACAAGCCACCAAAAAGTTGCCCAATAAACATTTGATATTGTATCTTATTAAATTAGTGGTACTGAACCCATAAATCTTTTCTGTTTTTTTCTGCTCCAAATCATAATTTAGATAAAAAAAACTTTTTAATAAAATTTTTAAGGAATAATTTAATGAGCAAAAGAAGCAATAATTAAATAGACAAGTGTTAAAAAAAGTTATGACTATGAAAGATAAAAATACTTATAATAGGGTATAATGTTAATAGTAAATATAATTAGTTCAGCCCTTGGAATTAGGGTAAGTATTCAGCAATGCCGACCTAACTGCCAGCTTAAAAATGTTTGAGGTTGGCAAAAAATTGCTGACCACTTTTTTATGTTTTATGGCCCAAAAAGCAATGTTTTGGAAATAGGATCATAACTAATGATTAAGAAATCCTAGAAAACTCATTGAGGACTTTTTGGAAAGATATTTTTTTCCTGTTTATAGAAAAGTACAAATTTTTAATATTAAACTAAATTTGTGGACTGAATTCAAATTACCATATTTGGGCATTTTTGATAAATTAGTGTTTTTTGATAAATACTCAAAGTTAAACTTTTTTTTAGATGACAACTAAGATAATAATTTATTAGGTATACTTAAAGAAAAAAAAATTAACAAATTTAATTAATTTAGGGGTCTGGTTCCTACTGTTTAATGATAAAAGGTTTTCATTTTAAAAAACAAGTATTTGGTCTAATTTGTATTAAAAATAATGTTAGTTTAATAAAATTATAAGGAAAGGGTTCTAATGGTTTGATATTGCAACATATATTTGAAGATAAAAATAAAAACAGTAAAAAATGTTTATAACTTCATAATTAATCATAAACTAAGTTTTCAAACATATCATCAAAATACCTCTTTGTTTTTACATTCTCACAAGATCTGTTTATAAGCTCATTTGAACTACAATCTTGGCATAAAGGTGAGTTTCCACTCATCCGTTTTTCTACGGGAAAGGGAACGGAAAAATAATCACGTGAGCATGTGCAGTTTTCTTTCGGACAAATAAAAACCTTTATTACGCATGCTCACGCCATTATTTTTTATTTTTCTATCCCGTTCCCGTTGAAAAACGGATGAGTGGAAACTCGCCATAACTTTGGAGGATACAAATGGATAATTTGGTTTAAAACACCAGGATAATATCTTTATGAAAAATGACTCATCAGCTCTGTAAGCTCTTTTATATTTTATGTCTTACGAGAGAGAATCTGTAAATAGTTTCTTATATCATTATTGTTGCCTTCTAGACATTCCACTGATAAATTGCCAGGGCCATAACCATCATTAAAAATGAATAATTCAGATGAGTGATGAAGGACTCCATGAAGAGTGGGGTTAATTTTTGCCCATGGTATATTTAAGTTAACATTAAGTGCAGCTTTATTACACAATTCTTGAAATTTGTCCATTTTAAGTTTAAGTCAGCAAGAAACTATACAAAGTATTACACTAATTTGAGAATGTAATAGTAACATGCTTTTTTTGTAGATAAGAGGGCAAAAATCTTTTATGTTCTTAAAATCTACTTCCTAATGACTGTTTTTAATGTCTCTCCCTTCTCACCAAAGTTGCAACACATCTAATTCTATTTAATTGCATTCCAGTGTTTTCTTTAATTTTAGTAATAAACCTGTCTCTTGCATTACGTATTGGTTTACCAAGCAGTCCTGTTTTTCAACACAGACTTATAGTAGTTTAAATACCAAGTTATTCCCATTTATATATGAATGTGGAATACATATGCTTTTTTGATCAGATTTGGTTTGTGGATTTTTATTAAGTCCTTTTTGCGTGGAAAAAATCTCCTGTGTTAGTAGGAGTGATAACATCCTTATTAAACAGTTTTTCAGCATATGCGTTTCTTCTGATGATCAGAAATACTAACTCTAACAAACCTTCAATAACTCTGTCCATTCAATAGTTTTTGTTTTGCACAGTATACAATCTGCACCTCCTAGTTTATCTAATGGATTAAAAGAATCTTTAATTACATTTAAAACAAAATTAGTTGCCATTCTTTTAAATTTTTTGTATTGAATAGAAACACCTTTTCCAACCAAAATATAATTAATTGTAGGCGTTTTTTTCTTCCTTTAAACAATTTATTGATTGCTGGAATTTAGATGTCTTTTGAAGCAAAAGTAAGTCTTAATTTTCTCATTTGCTCCTTACTTAGTGAAAGGAAATGCATTAAAGCTATGGATTCAATATGCTAAAGGTATCAGGTAATATAAAGGTATGTTTTCTATATGGTTTTTAAAATGTGCATTGTCAAGCAGTACTCTTATTACTTATTACCTGTTGTTTATGTCTAATTACTGTGTAATGAATCTATATAAGAGGTGACCCAATAACTGGTTAACATGCAACTCTGGTCACTCGTTGTGATAAAGTTGTTTATGCAATTGACACCTGTGTTCTCTCCTTTTTTATCTTATTAACCCAGTTTCTCATCTTTTAACTCAGTTCTATATAAGCATGTCTTAGATTTGAAACACATGGTCCTGTAAGCATCCTTAACTTCATTAATAGTGTATTTTGATGATTGTGAAGTTATAAATGCATATCCTTTTTTTTTTTAATGTTTTTTTTTTCCAGGCGTTTATGAGGTTTCCATGCTTTTTCACACATATTTTCTTTTATGGCAAAATATTTAACTGTGTTTGCCTTAATAGTTTAGCCTGCTTTAATAAATTGTGTGAATAAATCTACTTTATTGATGTATTTTATATTTTTTATTTTCCTTCATTACATTTATTTTTTAGTTTACTTTACTCATGCTAAACACAAACAAAATCAAATCAAATAAACATATAAAAGTTAAATATTTTACATATTTTTAACTAAAAATTAAATATTCTCATATTTTAAGAAAGAAAAAAAAAGTCACTGTTCAACCTTTTTAAATCCTGTAAATTTAAAAAAAAAAAAAAAAAACATAAATTTACAACAAAATTACCCAGTTAAGTTTAGAAAACTCAATAAAAAAATAGTAATTCAAATAAATTATACATTTTAAATTATTTTATTCAAAAATATATTCCATATCAAATTAAAAACAACTTTTACATAAGTGGTTTAGCAACTTTTATATTGATAAATTGAAAACTAACTGAATTTCACAAATTTCCGTAAATACAAAAATAGTTTTGGAATTCGTCAACTTCAAAATTATATATCATCAATTAGAAATTAGCTGGATGCATTTTTTTTTTACTTATCCAAAAATTTATCTGACTTTCTGAATAAATAATTTGTATAGGCTTTCTCAAAAAAAAATTTTTTTTCGATTTCCGCCTCTGGGCCCACTGTGTGCAGACCTCTTAAAGATTAAGGTCGGTAATCTCATTTTTCCTAATCCTGAGGGCTGGTTATTGTCATTTCTATTGTAATTTGACACCAGTATTAACATCTTTATCATCATGGTCTTTTATTAGTCATGCCTTGGCTACTTATTCCTCTAACTGTCAGATTTTTGTATATACCACAATTATAAAAGTGGCCATATTTTATGATGATTATAATGATGCCATTGCAATCTTAAGAGACTACAATGTACTTCATTGTAGAAATTCAAAAATAAATTTTAACTAAATAATCCAATATTCTTTATTGCTTTTTTATGTTAACAAACTGCACCATTAGTCATATATTCTCACTTTTTTAGTCATAGAGCTCACTTTTTTTTATAAAACATTTATTCAAAATAAAATCAAATGAAAACTAAAATGTATTTTGTTTTTTTATTTTTTAATATTTTAGGTAAAATCCATTTGCATTACGGAAATCTTAAAAAAAATCTTAACATAATGATTTTGATACCAAAAAGTGAAAAATAATGAAACATGTTATCTTAATTTAAAAAAGATTAGCTAAAAGTTAAGGATATATTTCAAATAATATATTAAAACAACAATTTACAAACAGAAATCAATAAGAAAAGAATTCAATTTTTGCTGAACCACCTTTTTGTAGTAAGTTTTTTTAAGGTATTTCTTAAGGTACATTGGCAAACAATATCCTTATTTCAAATTTTAGTTGATCAACATTTGAAATTTCAATTTTTAGAAGATGATAATCTAACCATGACCATAAAATTTCAATACAATTCTGAAAAGTCTGGGCTGTTAGCAGACCACAACATTATTGAAATTTGATTATCTTCAAAGCATTGTTTACATATTTTTGTAGTATGGCATGATGCACCATCTTGTTGATATATGATATTGTTGTTTTCTTAATTAAATATATTGAGGGAATAAGGCAGATGACTAAAATTTTAATATATCTTCAGCATTAAGTCAATCTTAAAATAATTGATAGCATTCAAGTCCTGCATAATTCATGCACATAATGCCTACACTGCCACTGTCTTGCTTGGTTCGTTTTAACGTATAATTCAAATCAAATCTTTCTTGAGGTGATCACTGTAGTATAACACAACATTTTTGCATATCTACATCAACATTCATTTTGTCTGAGAATTTAACATTTTGCCACTTGCAATCAGACAATTTTTTATGTTGATTTCACCAGGCAATCTTTGCCTTTTGCTGTTTTTTTGAAAGTCTTGACTTTTTGCATGCAGATCGCCACATAGTTATTTCAATGAAGAATTCTTCGAACAGTTCTTGCACTCACATTTATTCCAGAATTATTATTCAAGTTATGGCAGAGAGCTTTTTATGATAATTTTCTGTCATATCTCATTAGGCAAGTTAATAAATGTTAATCTCTTTATGTTGTTATAGTTTGCCAATTAGGTCGTTACTGATCCTTAATGTCACCTGTTTCAGTATAACATTTTAAAATATGTGCAAAAACCGAATATGCATTATTTAACTTATTGGCTATTTGACTATGAGGTAGTCCTTGGTTACAAAGAAAAATAGATTCGTAGCGTTTTTTTTCTGAGATTCTTGAATAAAATTAAGTAAAATAAAAAATTATTTAATAAATGCTGATGAAAATTAAATCATAATTATCGAAAAAAGTCATCAATATATTAGATTAATTTTAAAAATAAAGCAGCGAGCCTTAACTTTTGACCCACATAAAAAATCAAAATAATATAGTAGATATTATTAAGTTACATATAATGTAACTTATATTATTAAGTTATTATTAAGTTACATACAAAATAAATATAAGGAAACAACACCTCAATTAAATAGTAAACATGATATTTATTAATTAGAACAAATAAAATATTGACAAAATTTCAAAGTTTTTAAAATAATTTTAATCAAACAGGATATTAAAAAAAAAAAAAAAACGAGCTCTAATATATGGCCAATGGTGTATAATTGATAACACTATTTGTGTTTTTTATTCTTATATTGAATATTAAACTCACATTCTTTAACTTTTCTGGATTAAAACTTAATTTTTCATAAAATCTACATTTTTACAATAGTGAAAAATCTAGGTGTGCTAGAGACAAATAAATGTAACAACAAATCTATAACTTTTAGATTCCAAACCCAATTGTTTCAATATATCTTTCGCAAATATTTGTGGTCCACGAAGTAACTTTCCATCAGTTGAATCATTACCTCTTGCAAAATTCACCAGACTTGCTAACTCTTTGTGAGACTAATTTAAGTTTGGCTGTTCCTTCATCAGATCTTAGTATTGATGGGTACTACTCTTTATTCGCAAAGACTACAATAGTCACATGCTTGGCTTGGGGGTATACTTACTGAGTCAAGCCTCATTCTACTTTGCAAAGAACTTGCCTACTAACTTGACTCTTGATTCGTAAGGCCATGCTTTTCCTGCCATTTCAGTTAAACAGGTTAAGCCGTTGTTAGTTCAAATCACTCTAGTTTTCATTGCTAATGTCATACCTCAATTAAACTCATCTGCAGCTTGTGGTCATGCTGTCTTACAAAAGTGTTACAGAACTCTCTTCAATTCTCTCTAAACTATTTAATAAGTGTTTGAATGAACATTGTTTTCCTGAAAGTGGCATCTATGATTCCAATTTTTAGAAACTCTGGAAATCATTCTGACCCCTCAACTATTGTCCAATCAGCCTTTGCTTTATTTTTAGCAAGGTCTTTTAGTCTTTAATCAACAAATTTATAACATCTTGAGTCAAATAACTTACTGACAATATGGTTCTTGATCTTATTCTACAGCTGACTTGCTAACTGCTGTGAGTGAAAGATTCTCATGTGCATTAGATGGTGGCAGCAAGGGGCTGATGCCCTTGATATATTTTTTTTGGCATGATAGTCTTTCTTATAAGCTTGCTTCATATGGTGTATCTAGGAAAGTTTTTGAGATTATCAAACTATTTCTTTCCATCAGTTTTATCAAATTTACCCTAAAAGGCCAACACTTTTCTTCATTTTCAGTAACTTCTGGGGTACTTCTGGGGTAATTTTAACTCCAACAAAACTCAGTTATTTACTGCAAACATGTATTGCAATACTGCCAAAATTTCTATATTGATGGACGCTAACACTTCACCAACCCTTAGAAACATGAGGTACTGACCACAAACTGTTAGTGGTTGGCATCAAGTTGGCAAAAAAAATTTGATACAAAGGGGTTACCATAAAACATAGAAGCAAGGTCGATGGTTTTTTGCCAACCTTAAACACTTTAAAGTTGGCAGTATTGAATGCCGAACCTTTTTCTGAGGGCTGCTTCACTGAGCCCTCTTCTTTATGTCTTCTTTGATTGATTCATTACTGAACTCTCATGGAAATCATATATACAATCAATTGCAAAGTTGGCATCTGCTAAGGTTGCTTCTCTCTAGTGTGCTCACCATTATCTTACTCCTGATTCCATTTTCTACCTCTACAAATCTCTTATTCTTCCCTGTATGGAATACTGTTGTCATATTTGAGTAGGTTCTGCTAATGATGCTGTTTTTCTTCTAGACAAGATTCAAAAGCCGATTGTTTGCCTAGTTGAATTTTCCAAGCTTAAGCTCAAGTCAACCATTTTCTTGCTCTTTAACCCTATTCTTTGTTTAATAGTGGTTGCTTACTGTCTAGTTTGAAGTGGATTAGAATAAATTTAAAAAATGTATATATGAAAACTTTTTGACATTAAACTTAGCCACAACATTAAAGTAGAACCTGTTATTAACAGAATACAAATATAACATCTGGGGTAGTTGATTACACTTAGCCATGGTAAAGACAACTTACCTAGGAAAGAGAAATCTCTGATATAAAACCCTCCAACTTACTGTGTGTAAGGGTAGTAAAAAATCGTAAACCTTATATAACAATCCTCCTAATAGTAGTATTGCCAGTAGTATTTATAAAATACTAATAAAAATAAAATACAAAACCTACAAAATATAAATAAATAAAAATAATAATGAAAACAATCTTACCACAAAAACAAAAATATTTATTAGGTGGTCTTGTTGAAACATTTTGACAACCAGGACATCTCCAACCACTCTCATCTTACAAATAATATGTTTAAAAAAAATCATTAAACAACTTTAAAACCATCTTTAACTATAACTTTATATAACATTATTTTAAAAAACATATAAATACCTTTAACTGCAGCAGTTTCTGACCTTGCCCATTTCTTAATGCACTGCAAATGAAAAATGTGGTAACAGTTCCCACAATTCCAAACCTCATGGTTCCATTTGACAGAATCACAACAAATCATACATTCATAAACTCCTTTTATCAACTGTTCAATCAAAGATTGTGCTTGTGAAGAGTTCATAGGACCACACTTACTTAGTGCTGTTTGTTGCCATTCTTCAGGCATTGCATGATCTTGTTTCAATAAAGTTTGCACAACTGTTTGATCTATTTCCTGTTTAACATAGCCTACATGTGATTGATGGGAAATATTTGGGAAACAATTTGCATATTGTGAATAGTTAGACATTCCAGAAGGATTGCCTCTATGAGCAAAGGATTGCTGATAAAAAGCTGAAACATTTGTACTAGGAGGTAATGCATTACCATGCTGTAATGGAAACATTTCTTGGTAGTTAATTGATTGTTGTACCGATGACACATGGTTTTGTGGCAAAGTAGACATCTGATTATGTTGTTGTTGTAATGTAGAAATTTGTGAATGTGAATAGCGACCAGGTGAACTTCCAATATGTTGTGTTCCATAAGCATTGCTTGCAACATGTATTCCAGGAGGTGCACTAGATTGCTGTATACTTGCTCCTGAATAGTTCATGTTAGACCCTGTAGGCAATACATTTGCAGTTGCACGAAACCCCGATGAGCCTACATAAGCACCATGAGAAACAGGGGACTGGTGATAATTAGGTGTCTGTAAATTTGAATGAATATGTTGCTGTTGACCTTGAACTGGCAGCTGGTTATTAGTAAAAAAATGATTTTGCTGTCCAAGTGATACCTGATTTCCAGGTTGCATTAATTGTAAAGATTCTGTATTAGTTGCTGATGTTTTTATTACACCAGTCCGTTCTTCCATTTTTTTCCTATTATATTGAACTTCAGGGTCATTGTTAAAAAAGTTTTTAACAAAATCAAGACTTTTTTTATGCTCACTTTTATCTCTTACAGATTCCATTTGTAGCTGATTATGTGTTGGCTGTGGAATACGGTCTGGCTTAGAACTGCGAAATGCAGAAAGTGGCAAACTATTATATGGACTGCCAAGAATACTTTGATTTGTTGGTGCAACAGCATACTGCATTGGCAACCATTGCATTTCATTAGGACCATTAATCCCAGGTATTAGTTGATTACTATAATAATTGTTGACTCCTATACTTCCTTCTTGATATTTTCCAACAAATCCCTGATATTCATCTATTTTTTTAGTTTGACTTTGCATTTTTTGTCCTTTATTATCTTTTTTTGGACCTTTATATACACGAGTAGAATCATTTGGTTTTTGGTCATTTTTCAATTTATTAGAAGATTTATTTGAGGGGGCCTTTTGATACCGGTTGTTATTTCCACTCTTTTTTCTATTATTGTCTTTAACTCCCTTATTACTTTCAGATTTTTTATCCATGTTTGAATCACTGAAATCAGTAGCAGCACTCATTTTAGCCATGTATTCTTGAAGACGTTTTATTTTTTCTGCATCTTTTTCTGCAACACCTAATGGTCTTTCTTGCGTAGAAACCACCGGAACTGTTTCTTTATCATTAATGTCTTGTTGGTTATTAGATTGATTATTTTCTATATGAGCCAACTCATTAGTTGCTAAGGGTCTTTGTTGAATTTTTTTTACTACTTTTTCATCATCCATATTGTTTTCCGTGGTTGAAGTAGATGAAAAAGTACGATTTTTACTGGCAAAATCTGTAGGCTTATATAATGCTGATTTACGATGAGATGCCATCCCTATATTATAAAAAAGTTTCTTCATGACATAATATAAACAAAAAAAAATAGAAAAATATACTTTATACAGAAAATTTAACTACACACTTTTATTAATTATCCTTTGTAGATTGGTACAAAAATTAAGTAAATAATATGGAAGCTGTATGAATATGATTAGATGCAGATGGGATTAAACTAAGAACTTTCTACCACAACACCATTACCACATGTTTAACAATAATGTAATTTTTATAATCTAAGTATTTATTATTCCACATTTTTAACAATTTAAACATTTTTAAAATAAAATAGTTTTAGAATAAGCAAAGTAATCAAACATTCATTCATTGAGACTAACAAACATCTTGAAAATATTTAATAATATCAAAATTATTATTATAAAAAAATAGTTATTTTTAAAAATAACAATTATTATTATTATTAAAACCAATGTATAAATTATTATTTAAAGTAATAAAAGTTTTTTTTTTTTTAAATGTGTTTCTATATCTAAAATTTTTTAAGAGTTAAAATTATTTTTTGGTGGCTTAGCTGTAGCATAACCGCTCTTGCCATGCACCATAAATGCACTTATAAGGTTGTCAGTATCATTTAGTGTGCATTTTCAAAGCACAATGATGCACATGCTATGGCACTTTAATACTCTTTTGTACAGGTGTTAATTAAACCAGTTTCTACCAAAGAGTTTGAAAACAAAATGTAAAAAAATGATTAAAGGAATATAAAAATCATAAAAGTTGCATCATAATTAAGATGAAATTTTAAAACTTTTATTATTGCAAGATCTCGTAACCAAATAAACCAAAATTAAAAAAATAAAAAATAAAATGAAAAACTTTAGAAATTCTGAAAGCATGTAAACAAAAATTTAACTAATGCAGAAAACCCTAATAATAATCACAGAACCAAAAAAGTATATAAAAGTAAAAGAAATTAAATACAAACAAACAACGAACACAATTAAACTACTTAACAAAACATAACAATCATTAAACGTAAAGTTTAAACATAAAGTTTAAACAAACACTTTGCACGAATAAAATTAAATTAAAAAAATAATATAACTTACATATGCAAAGTTTGGGAAATCATTTGAATTAAAATTCTGTGTAATGATGAAAAAAGCAAATTATTTCACCATATCGACGCAAGAAAGAAGTGATTTGCTTTAGACAAAATCTCCGGTGCCGAAATAGAATGTTTTTTTCCTATATTTTTTTAAAATCCGTTCCTGTTATTTATTTTATTTTATTTATTATTACAGTTTATCTGATACACTTTTATGGCTTGAACCATTTAAATACACTGTGGTCAAAAAGCCATTGTTTTAAAATATTTTAATAATGAAATTTAAATTAAATACAAATTCAAAATTGTGTTGTTTTTAGTTTCACTTCCTAGGGTAAATGGGACATTTTCCACAGTCGCTGTCTACAAACGAAATCCTATCAGTTTTTTGAGAACTGTCTTTTTTGTTTTAATAATTTTCAGGAAGAAATTTCACTCCGTTTTAAATAAATATATTTTCCTTCCGTTTTAAATTTAGTTATATAACCGCATGTAACTATAGTTGCTAACATTAGCTTTAACTTTCACTATACTTTTATTAAAACGTTAACTTTTTTTTTAATTTGTAAATATTCTAGATTCTAGAGTAAAACACTTTTTACTCTATCTATTCTTGGGGCCCGGGGCTATTTTTGTTTTTGGAGGCCTTTTTATGGGCCAGAGCCTAAAAATGACTAAAAAAAAAAGGCGTTCTAAAATTTTTAGGGGGCCCCTAAATTTGCGGGGCCCGGGGCTATAGCCCCCCCCCTTGATCCGGCACTGATTACGTGTGAACAAACGAGAACTCCTGTGAGCATAAGTATTGTCAACAGCGAATTATTTGAGTGCCAATCATTAAAAATTCTCATAGAGAGTTGTGTCAATCGTTAATGATGTTCAAATGGATTTATACCAAATGTTAATAATTACGTAAAGAGTTATTTGAGTAACAGTTATTACAAAAGAGAACTGGTAAAATGAGCATAAAGATGCGTTTATGTCCCAATAAGGAGCTGATTTTTATTTATTATTTATTTGCCATTAAAAAAAAAGAATACAATGCCGTGTATAAATAAATCTACATGACCGGGGCTAAAAGAAGACAAAATTTGCCTTATCACTACACCCCGAGTTTCGTTTTCAACATGGATCACCTCCAGACGAATTGTTTAGAAATCCAGAGTTCATGTTAGAAAAGAATTTTAAATTTCTGAATTAAAATGTTGTACACCAAAAAACCTCTATATGGCCACAATAAATAAAATATTTAGTCACGTTAAAGATGGATGGGATATAATTTAATTTAAGCTTAAAACGTCCTCAATTGAATAAGACGTTATCATAATAATATTATTTTTAACTCTCGTGTATTTTATTGATCGCCAGTCATACTTAATTTTAAACACAGGTATTATATTTTTAATTTTTGTATTTATACTGTTATTTTGCTCAATATAGTACTGATCAAATGGTATACTTATTTTAATAATATCTTAGTATATACTTAGTATACACTAATTATCTTAGTAATATACTTAATGACGGTTGTTAACGAATGTTATGTCTAACTTCCGTCAAGTTTTACATCTACCTGCACTTTCTAAAATTTAAGAAAAAGTAATTTGTACTCGAATTTATACTTATTTAACTTTACAAAAGCTGTTATATAAAAATAAATGCGGTTTTCAAAAAATTTGCTTGACTGAGCATACTATTGTTGAACTGTGAAATAAAATATTTTAATCTTTCAATAAAAGTTAGAAGGTACTGAGATAATTTATTGGCCTTTCAATTACATTTAAACAGTTGACCACGGATTTTATTATTAAAATTAAAACATATGGTAATCAAGATTTTTGCATAAATGGATAAGAAATTATCTGATTAAAATAAAGCAATTTGTCATAAACGAGTCAAATTTTTTTACAGTTCTAGAGATACACCATCATTTGATTAAGTGTGAGCACCTCACACTTAATATCAAGTGGATCAATTCTAGGACCGTTGTTGTTTTTAATTTATATCAATGATAAGTATAAGGCGTAATCTATAATATTTTCGATAATGTATGCTGATGATACAACTTTGTTTTACAACCATAATCACTTAAAATCAATGTTTGCAATTAAATAGATGAAGGGAAAACAAAGCCGAAAATTGTTGAAGTTTATGGTACAGTCTTAGTAGTATATCTAATCCAACGGCAAGTCAAATTGGCCCTTTGGGTTGAAAAAGAAAAATTTTGAAATGTAGCTTGTAACATTTGAAAGCCGTAATCAAAGAAGATTTACGATCTACGCAAAGTAATTGTTTTTTGAATATCTTGACACTAGGTATAAATATCAAAGTTTTGGACAACCTCTACTTGTTTGAGCTTTATCTTTTGCTTCCCCGTTTAGCTATAGGTTTGTTACAATATTAAAGAACGTTTTTTCGGCAACAATCTTATAATATATGTCTAGTAAAATAAAAAAATAAAAAAATAGGATTTTGTTTTGTGTTGTGGTATTTTTGTTGGATTTATATTACGATATTTTAAAAATAGAGATATAAAATATCGTTTTGTAAACCTAGCAAAAATACTACCAATTCTAACCTAGACATTTATTATTTTAATTCTAATCTAAAAATTTATTATTCGTTAGTTAAAATGCACAACATAAAAAAATAACAAGAAACTAACTTTAAATATTATTTACGAGTTTTTTCGTAACTTCTATCTTTATTTGCAATTAGGGATTGCAATTCCGCAAGTGGGTTACCGCAATCCCGCCTTGTTCAAGTTCATGCGAGATTTGTGGGATTTAAATTATGAAGTTCATTTAAACAAAAAAGATACAAAGTAATCAGAGATACTTAAATTTAAACGTCTATATGGAGGCAAAACACATTAATCTTGAATTTATTCGAATCCATTGATCGTGGAGCGCAGAATATTAAATTGAGTTGGTGGCCGAAAAGCTGCTTGCTGAATTAGTTAGCAATTATTAAGATATTTTGTTGTGAAAATCTTTAAAAACTCTCCGGTTAAAAATAATAAATATTTACAAAAGTATATTCTACATGAACAAGCAAAAAAGTTTGATTCTTGATCGACGGCGATGCAAAACAGTCTGCTCGATATAACGGAACAATTTCATAAACTAAAGTTATATATCGAAAAAGCTCTAATTGACATTACATCAGAATAACGTTTAATAAGTAAAAAAAATAATGGTCTCAAATCTAGGGATGTGGAGTCTTAAAAAGGACTCCGGATTTGAAAGTCACAAAGAGATAGCCTCTTTCTAGTTTGTTATGTGAAACATAACAAACACGTGTTATTGAATGTGAAACATTTGTTGCAAAGTTGCTGCAACCAATCGAACTAATTGCAATCATTTTTCCACTTCTTTAAGAATTTCCTTTAGAATACTATAATAATGAAGGGCTGCAAGCCAACAACAACAACAACAACAAACCATTAACAAAAGTAATAATGAAATAGTTATACTTCATTATGTTCTTTATTTCTCTCTACCTTTTTTAATCTACTGTTAATTATAATTTTCTTTTTTAATACTTTCAAAATTGAAAAAAAAAATCTTTAATTTTGATAGCACTTACTTTTTATTTTCTTTGCTATATTATACTATATGACACGCCACTATTTGCTATATTATATGGCACGCAACTATTTGCTATATTATATGGCACGCCACTATTTGCTATATTATATGGCACGCCACTATTTGACATTTCTCCATTATTTGATTGTGCCGCATCTAACAAAAATTTTTAAGAGGTTTTTAGCCAAAACCTCTTAAAAAAAATTTTTAACTTTTTTTTTTTTAATTACAAACGGTTTATTATATTGAAAAACAATTTATTCAAAAAAAAGTCAGTTTTAAAGAAACGTTGACTTTTATTAAATAATTTTTTTTAACTCCAATTTTTTTCCATATAAAAAAATTCCGTGGTAAGCAATAAATTTAGCAACAAGAATATTATTTGAAGTTTTTTTTGCCTAAAGTATACTATTCTTGATTCTTTTAATAGATTTTTTATTACACAGTAATAAAAAACCAATGTGGGTTAGAATGGCAAATTTCCAGCCAAAAACTCATAATAAATCCAAACAAAAAAAAAAAAGATTTAAAAACAAAAATAATATGTTTTAAATATATTTTAAAGTTTTTTTATATGTATTGATTAGATTAAATTAGGTTGAATTTATTGGAACAAATAATACATGTTCTTAAGGACACGCAGGTCCATATTGATGGACACTAACAGCGTGCCCCAAAGTAAATAAATGATGTAAAAGCGTACAATATTGAATAAAATATTTATATACAACTAAACAATAAGATATGCTGTCAATGCCACATAACTTATCCAAAATTGATAGTGTTAATTTTACTCTTAAAGATGTTGATATTATCGGCATTAACAACATCGAAAGGCAACAGATTCCAAATGTTAATAACTCGGTAAGGGTAAGCGAAAGATACTATGACTCAAAGTGAGGTTTTGATTTTTCAAAAAACAGAGACCATATATCATACTGATTTAGGGAGAAATGTAAGAGAGTACTGTTACATCGACTGATTTAGGTAAAACATGCAAGTGAATGCTGCTGCATTAATTGAGGATTTGGGTTGGGGCAAGTATAAGTATAATAGAGTCCGGCCGGGCTATAAAAAATGATATTAATAACATAACAATCCGCCCGTTTTATAAAAATAAAAATTATCACATAATAAAATCATTGCTCAGTCCAGACTGACAAAAACTGGAAAAATATTTTTTTTAATGCTAGTAGTATGCATCAAGTACTTTTGAATATATCAGTTACATATCTTTTAAATTGCTTTATATACCACTATTTTTGAACAAAAAACGAAATAGAGAATTTGTATAATTTAAAAAATAGCCTGTACTGTTAAGCATAAAAGAAACAGTTATATTTTTATTAGGAAATTTTGATGATCATTTATACGTCTATATACATATGCAAAAAATGTGGCATAGGCTTTTCTTATCTTATCAAATAGAATTAATGTAAAACTATCACTGCAATATTTAAAAAATTTAAAGAATGATTTTTAAGATAATCTTGCTAACGGAACTCTTAAATTTTGCGGTCAATTATTTCCTATGTAAACCTAATGTATTGTCATAAATAATATTATTTTCGTATATTAGACATATTTAACTGATATTAAAAAAAAAATTAGATTTTTTAATCTTTATTTGTTACGTTTTGGCGGCTTCTGACGCACTGCGCGCTGTGGGTCAGAATCGCGGTAAGATTTTTCGGCTGAGTTATGTTGGTAAACACAAGCCCTAAAGGTCCGTACAAACTAGTTATTTTTGTTTATCACTTTAAAAACCTCATGTAAAGTTTTATAAAAATGTGTGTACAAAATGCAAATACAAGTGTATTTATCAACCATTTTTTATTTACTGTGTTTAGAGCTTGAAAAAATTTAAATTATAGTATAATTTCCAATTTATTTTAGAAATATATAATATGCTTTATCCTGTCAAAAGTTTTATATCATGATCAAAAAACCAATACTAGAAAAAATCGAATTTTTGGGTTAAGTTATTTATTTGTTTCAAAATAAACAAATAAAGTATTGCAAACTGGAAGGTATGCACTAAAATTATCATTTTTAAATATATTTTCAGAGTTTGTTTGTGTGTGTTAATTTTGTCATAAAGTTAAACTTAACATTATGCTAAGGTATGAATATCTAAATATGCATACATTATTAACTGATAATAATACATGAGTATGGTATTTTGCTTTTTGATGATATATAAGGTTGTATTAGATATACATTGTTTAAGTTGCTTTTTTTAAAGGTTGAGTTTTTTTAGTGTTTAACCTTAAAGTGGCTGGATTGCTTAGTTGGTTAGAGTGTCAAATGAAATGATAAAACCTAAACTTTTATGTAATACGAGTTCAAATTCAACCACTGCCAACTCAGCATTGGAGTAGTACTTTGATACACAAAAATTTAAGTCAATAATGGGCACTACTTTGGATAGTCTTTATGACTGTTTGTGATTGTTCCTATACTAAACCAATAATATTCTTGGAATAAGAATATTTTATAGTAAAATACAGAAAAGATTCAAATAATAAAAAAAAAAATTAACAATTTAGACAGTTTTGGAACAAAAAATTGTTCTACTTTGAAACTAATTTGAAAATTTTTTAGTTCTAAAAATTTAGAATCAAAAAATTTGAGGTTTGTAATTTTAGTTGAAAGTTAGTTGTAACAACAATTATGAACAAATTCCTTAAATGAATTTAAAATGTTTTGGAATGGCTTGAAAACAATATGCCATTTATGGCAAAAAAAGGACAACCCAGCATATTTACATAGTTGCTAACAAATCATAAAATCTACACCAATATATAAAAGATCTGTGCGCAGCGATTTCAGAATTGCAAAAACTTTTTTCACAGCTTAAATTTAAAATTAAAACATATATAAGAAATTTTAACAAAATTTTTTTCCAGAGGATAATTAAAGATACCATTTACAGAATCAATAAAGTAATTAAATTTGAAGTAATTTGATTAGATTTACAGAATTAATGAAGTAATTACAATGAAGTAATTTGATTAGATGAAGTGTTTAGTGTTTTTTTATTATTCCTAAAGTTATTATTACAATTTGTATAAATTTTAATACTTTTTATTGGTTTTGAATTTTTGGTATATTTTTGAGTGATATATTAGCTGTTATGCTACTATATCAAATATATATAAATATAAGATATAAAAGCAAAAGATATTTTGTATTGGCTAGCTTAAATAATGATTAAATATTTTATGAATGAATTATGTGTTAAGAGTTCAACAATTTTTATACAGCTTTGTTTTGCAACTTATTTTTTTAAGTATATTTTAAAATAAATTAAACTTTTATCTGAATACTGAATATGATGCCTAGCAAATTAGTTAGCATCTAATTTGTTTATTTTCAAAGGAATAAAAAGACACTCTATTATTCTATATAGTAATGCCTTGAAACTGTTTTAAAAGTTTATATATATATATATATATATATATATATATATATATATATATATATATATATATATATATATATATATATATATATATATATATATATATATATATATATATATGTGTGTGTATATATATAAGCCTTAGCGGGAATAAATTAGGGCAAGAGCAGAGAAAAGTCTTATCACGAACATGGCAGGCCATGCAAGCAGCACCTCTAAACAGCTTATTATAAGAGCTTTCTATTTATGCGCGAGCTATTTGTGTTTTCATTATAAAATTTTTTGCTAAATACAAAATTTGATTTTATACTTGTTACAAGCATATGCTTTTAACATTAATGTTACAAGAATATATTCATAACAAATGTTGTTTATCATGATGTGAAAAACATTTTTTTAATAACTCTGCCTTTAAAAAAGCATTGCAGTTTGTTATGCAATTATTGGTTTATATTGAAAATGACTTTCGTGTTTTTCTTCTCAGTTACACCTATAATCGTTTTCTTTTATGAACAACTTTGTGAACTTAGCCATATTGTCATTTATGTTATAGTTGAGTAATTCCATGTCAATTGAGCCAGAAAATTTCAAAAATGTCACCATACATCTCAGATTTTGCTGATTTTTATACAGTTGAGAGTACTTAGTAAAACAAAAATTCCTTGAAAATTTTAGCTTCTAGTTCCAAGAGGATCATGAAATATGATCATTTTACTTTTAACTGATCTTGGCCAGGCCCCTCTTGTTCCCTCAGAAGTGTGACCTTTGTTTAAAGGTTCCAAGTCACATAGCTTTAAAAATATTTGATCTTTTGACTTAAAAATTTGATGCTCAAGAAAGCCATATGGCCTTAATGATATAAAAAACTGTACACATTATTCTATGTTTAATGATCTTTCAGAAAACATAAAAATTTTGATCTGCAAGTATATGGATTTCCATATATGGTTAACAGGGCACAGGCCCCACTATTTTGTAGCGGAATCTTGCCATACATTTTTCACTACCTTTCAGACTAGCTGGAATGATGAAAATTTTGGTATTTATGTAGTGTCAATAAATGTGCATTTTAAAATTAAAAAAGGGCCCAAGACACTAGGGGAAGGGGCTGGAGGGATGTGCCCCACTTTTTTGACCGGAATTTTGAGATAGATTTTTCAGTATCTTCCAGACAAGCGAGAGCTTTGAAACTTTCAGCATTTGTGTAGTCCTGATGAACATGCGTTAAAATTGTTTCAGGTCAGACAACCAGAAAGTCCATTAGGCTGTGGCACCGGGGACCATGCCCCACTTATTTTCTCAAAAAAAAATATATATATATTTTTTTAAGCACATTTAAGATAACTTTGAAACAATTGTCTTCAAAATTTTTTTTTAGATTTTCATTTTTAACAACGTTAAACATATCTTTGATAACATTGCTTCACAAATTTTTGTGATTTATATTTGTTCAATTTGGTTTTTGATCATTCTATGTTCAATGATCATTCTTAAAATTTTTTAAGAAAGTTAATGTTTATAAGAATTTTGATTTGCATGTATAAGATTAAAAACAAAATAATGGTCTAAAATAATGGTTTTAACAGAATTTTATTTTGTAAAATTTTAATTAAAAAAGATTAATATATTTTAATGCTAAAATGGTAACAGCAAGTTGTTTAATTAACTTCCAACAGAAAAAAACATCCTGTCATAACATTACATCAATAAAAAAGAAATTTATTAATTTTTCAAAATCATTTTTTTTATTTGATATTTGCTAATTCTAAAATGTTAACAGCAAGTTATTTTATTAAATAAGAACTATTCACAGTAACAAAAAACATCCCGTCATTACACTAGTATAGAAGAAATTTGTTACCTATTAAAGTCATCATTAACATTTTTAACATTAACAAATTGGTTATAATTAAACTTTGTGAAATGGAAACTTTCTTTTTGTCAAAGTAAGATAAAAGAAATCAATCACTGTTTAGTTTTGTATTACCATGGTGATTGCTTAAGTTGCTTTCATTGAATTAATTACTATTGGTTTCTCATTTTTAAATTAATCTCAAAATGTTTTTAGTGTTACAGTAAGAATGGATTCATGTGATTTTGGAAAAAAATTAAATGATACTTGTCATAAACTAAGTTATCGTAGAAAGATTGATTTAAAGAAATTTGATTGCTATAGAGAAGATGCCAGAGAAGAATTAATTGGAGATCTGGAATAACAGATGATAAAATTTTAACAATCTGCCTTCATCATGAAAAGATTTTTGGTACACATTTTGAAAAGAAGCACACAAAATGTTGTAATTTATTGGACAAGCATAAATCAAAAAAAAAAGCAATCAAAGGTAAATATTGTTGATAAAAAATTATTGTAAAATCTTTTTTAAATAATGAAATTAAAATCTACTAGTTTATAAAAGTTTGAAAAAAAGCTGATCTGGTTATGCAATATATATTGAAATAAGTACAAATAATTTTCATATTCATAGGTAATTACTAAAATCAAATTATTCTTTTCTTTTCAGGGAGTCATGTAATAACATTAGACATGGCAAAACAATTGAGAATTAATTTTCCAAATGTTGTGCCTGGATATCAACTTTGTCGGAGCTGCTTTGATGCTTTGTCGGAGCTACTTTGATGCAACTTTGTCGGAGCTGCTTTGAATCAGTAAATTTCATGAACAAGATAATTGTGAATTTGAGGAATCTATTTCATGTACTACTTCTGAAAAGTCATGAGAGGCATTAAATGTTAGTTTGGAAACAATAGGTGTATCCCCCATAAAACTTCATGGCATTCCAAAGCATCAACGGCTATTTGTTGCTAAAAGTAAAGTTATAAAAATAATGTTAAAGTATGAAAAGCATATTTCAAAAGTATATAATGTTAGGGAAGAAGAACTGAAACATAAAATTCCTCATACGAAAATTATTGACAAAAGTAAATGTGATGATTTAGACAAACTAACAGCAGAAATAAAAGAAAAGTTAATTGTTTCTGACCAAAAAACTAAAATTTAGTTGTTAACATTTACACTCGAGTCTTGGTCAAGAAATTTTGCTGCAAGATATTTCAACGTCACTATATACCAAATTAAAGAAAATAAGTGGGATTTTTTCAGTTCCAGGCACTAAGAAAGAAAAAAACATTTTCAGAAATAACATTAAATAGAGTCAACAATATATACCATGATGAAGAATTTACTAGATAAATGCCTGGTAAAAAAGATTACGTAAGTATTGGTAGAAAACAACACATGCAAAAGCGCCTTATTTTATGTAATCTTAAAGAACTTTATGTTTCTTTTAAAACTAAATATCCTCAAGAAGTTATTGGATTTTGCAGTTTAAGACCAAAATGGTGTATAACTGTTGGAGCATCAGGCACTCATTCTGTTTGTGTATGTACCCTCCATCAAAATGCAATACTCTTGACCAATGCTATACAAATGAAATGTACTTACAAAGATATGACGACAAAAGTTGTTTGTGATGTGACAAGTAACGAGTGCATGGTTCATCGATGTCCGAACTGTCCAGGTATAGTTTCTTTAAAGAAGTTTCTGGATGCACAACTAATTGACAATGACAATGACGAGGAGGTGTCATTCTATCATTGGCAGAAAACAGACAGAACAACATTGATCTATCAGACAACAACAATTGAAGAATACAAATTGTTGCTATCAGAGGCAATAAACAAGTTAACAGCTCAATCCTACATTGCAAAATGTCAATCAAGATATCTAAAGCAACAAAAGGAAAATTTAGCAAAAAACTGGTGTATTGTCTTAGTTGACTTTGCATAAAACTTCACTTTTGTGATTCAAGATAAAAACCAAAGTTACCATTGGTGCAAAAGTCAATGCACATTGCACCCCGTTGCCCTCTATTTATTAAACAAAAATGACCAACTTGAAGAAAAATCGTTTTGCTTCATGTCAGAAGATAATGAGCATGACACTGGTTTTGTGTATGAAGTTCAAACACAAATAGTTAACTATTTAAAAGAATATCATCCTAAAATTTCAAAGATTCTTTATTTTTCTGATGGTTATGCTGCACAGTATAAAAACCACAAAAACCATTACAATATCTGTCTCCATAAAAATGATTTTGACATTGATGCAGAGTGGACATTTTTTGCTACAAATCGTGGTAAGTCATCATGTGATGGTATTGGTGGCATTGTAAAACGATTAACTACAAATGCAAGTCTACAAAGGCCCATAAATGACCAGATATTGAATTGTAACAAAATGTTTGACTACTGTACTAACAATATTAAAGGGATTATTTTTTTCAAGATTGAAAAAGAAAGACTGACAGAATTGTGCACCACTTTGAAAACACGTTTTGAGCTAAGTAGAACAATTTCTGGAACTAGGAGCTATCATCTATTTAAACCAGCATCTATAGATACTATTAGCTTTAAACCAACAAGTGAAGATGTTCAAATAACAGTCATTTTTTCTTTTTCTGGTATTCAAAGTTCTCAAAATGATCAGAAAATTAACATAGATGCCTTGAAATTTGGTGAATTCATTATGTGTAAATATGATGCGTTTGATTGGATTGGTATGATCAATGAAATTGATAATATAGAGCAAGATGTTATGGTAATGTTTATGCACCCGCACGATCCTTTTAATAAACTTTTCTGGCCATCTAGAGTAGATGGGTGTTGGGTTCCAATTACCAACATAACTTGTATAATTGATGCACCTGTAACAACAAATGGATGTTTTTATACTTTGACCGTCGATGCATCTAAGCTAATCTTATGGACCTTCTGGTCATCTGACCTGAAACAATTTTAACGCATGTTCATCAGGACTACACAAATGCTGAAAGTTTCAAAGCTCTAACTAGTCTGCAAGATACTGAAAAATCCATCTCAAAATTCTGATCAAAAAAGTGGGGCACATCCCTCCAGCCCCCTCTCCTAGTGTCTTGGGCCCTTTTTTAATTTTAAAATGCATATTTATTGACACTACATAAATACCAAAATTTTCATCGTTCCAGCTAGTCTGAAAGGTAGTGAAAAATGTATGGCAAGATTCCGCTACAAAATAGTGGGGCCTGTGCCCCGTTAACCATATATGGAAATCCATATACTTGCAGATCAAAATTTTTATGTTTTCTGAAAGATCATTAAACATAGAATAATGTGTACAATTTTTTATATCATCAAGGCCATATGGCTTTCTTGAGCATCAAAATCAGGTGTATAAAAAATTGCCTAAATTTATTTAAATTGATAATTACAAGTACTTAAAAATATTTTTTTACATTTCTGATTATTTCATTGGATTCTTCGACCCTGAAAATAGCCAGGTACAAATTTCTAAGTCAAAAGATCAAATATTTTTAAAGCTATGTGACTTGGAACTTTTAAACAAAGGTCACACTTCTGAGGGGACAAGAGGGGCCTGGCCAAGATCAGTTAAAAGTAAAATGATCATATTTCATGATCCTCTTGGAGCTAGAAGCTAAAATTTTCAAGGAATTTTTGTTTTACTAAGTACTCTCAACTGTATAAAAATCAGCAAAATCTGAGATGTATGGTGATATGGCCTGGCTCAATTGACATGGAATTACCCAATTACGCTAAAAAAAAAAATGCATTTGAAATCAAAAAAATCAATCTGAAACTCTTTAGAGTTTCAGATTGATTTTTTTAACAAAGTTTGAATTTTTTCTTTCTCATTTGCTGTAGTTTGCACAAGAAATTTTAATTTTTTTTTTATCTTTATCTAAAAAATAGAAAAAAAAAGTGATTTATATTCAAGAAGAAAATCGTAACTTTCGGAGAGCCATAAACTGCTCCCGTAAACCACTTCAGGGGAGTGTGGGCAAAAAGGCGGGAAATGATTACATTACAACTTTTATTAAAATAAATTGTTTAATCTATATTTACATATAATTGTGGTTTTTGAAGTAACTGTTTGTCTGTAAAATCTTATTTTATGCAAAGTTAATCAGAACTAAAGCATTTGGTGGTTTTAAACCTTGAAATTCTTGACTGTGAGCTTAAAACTCTACTTTCAGCTCACTAGTCTACTACTGCATATATTTAAGTATAAAACAACTATATATTTTCATATATATCAAAACATTTATTTGTTTTAAAAATCTAGTTTGAATCCACTAACTATTTATTGATGGGTTTTTGCTTAGCACTTCTTCACTCAATTTATTTTCTCTTTGTTCTTGTTTGCTCCTTCATTTTCTTTCTTTTAAAGGTTACACTCTTTTTGATGTTGTTTCTGTTAAAATTGGCCAAGCTATTTCTCTTTATTTACCTGCCAATATTGTTATTCAATACCACTGTGTGGTCCGCGCAGTGGTCAACTGAGCCAATAATGTTGACTTTAGTACCAGCTGGCTCTAAACCTTTCTCAATTTCCTACTCAGATAGTTAACTTTGTGACTTGTTTCCCAAACAATCCAAATTGCTTACTTTTTTCCTTGATTTTTATATTTTCTCTGACCCTCAGTTTTCTCTAGTTTTTTTTCAGTGCTCAGTTTTCTCTAGAAAAATCAACCTTACCTCTAAAGTGGCTCTGATTGCTGTTAACACAACTTTATACTTCAGTCTTGAAAAAAGTCATGATTTTTGATCGCTTAGTATAAGCAGTCCATCTTAAATGTAATCTTTTTTTCTGCGACAGCTTAAAGCTTGCAGTGGTTGGTCAATTTTAACTCAACTTTTTACTGCTAAGAATTATTGTATTTTTGATATTCCCATATTGATACACTCTTTCTGAATCTACTATGTTATCTTTAGTTATTCCACACACCAAAACCCGTTATTTTGTGACTCATCATTTAACTAAGTTACAAAAAATTGTAAAAAATCTAGTTTTTTTGTTTGCACATCTTTTCTTGGAATTTTATTCTGTCTTCATATTTTCCTATCTCATGCAGTTAACAGTTTTTTTAAGTTTCTATCAACCATTTTCTGCTTTTTAACTTTTTAAGTTGTTTGCAGGTAAAAAAAATTACATTGAATTGTTAAAATAATTGAACAAAACAAAAAACTAAATACTTTAGCTAATATATATCAATATAAAATATTTACTTGTAATGTTTTAATTGGTTTTTAAACCCATGGAACAGTTGAACAAAAGACTTTTAAGTCCTATCACCACTAATAATAAAGTGAAAAAACAGTTTTGTCCAAGGACTTTTGACTCTTAAAAGTCCATGCACAACACTGTCAAAGAAAGATAAAATATGCCATTTGTTTTATTATGTTTTTAGGTTTAAACCATCAGATGTTAAAATGGAAAAGAATGAAAAGTTAGACAACAAAAGTTTGACATCAAGTTTCAAAGCAAAACAAAAAAATTTATTGCAAAAAAAACTTAGTGGTCAAAACAAAGACCATATTGCAAATGAAGAGGATCAGCGTTTACCTCCAGCTTTACGAAGAAAGTTGCGTGGTTTGTTTCAGCAGATTGAGCAAGAGTTTGAAAGCATAATGCATGAAAATGTTGTTCGTAAGTTTATTAAAGTACCATTTGATTTTTCTATTTCTTTAAATTTTAAAAATTTAAAATTTTGAAAATGTTATCTAAATAGTATAAAAAATTATTCATAAGATACACATCATTTTTAAGTTGTAGAATAAACAATATCCAAAATACCAAATGCAACTTTATAGCCTGAGGATATTCACAAGTTAACAAAAAATGCCACATTGTTAACAATATTCAGTTAAATTATTTAGCTGATGAGTTTTAAATTGATTATTTTTAAAATTGTTTATCAACGTTTTCAATAACTATTCTTCAATATAAATAGCATAAAATTCTTTTAAAATTCTAGCTTTTCTTTCTTTTTCTTTTTTTTTTAATCAACTTTTTTTTTTTCAAATTTATTTAATATAGTATAAAAATATAAGTTTAAAAGTTAAAACTACTAATCGTACTACTTTATGTTGACAGTGATAAAACCGCCAAACAATGCACAAAAACTACAGACAGTGATTAAAATCACCAAACAAACCACACACTACAGGCAGTGTTTCTTGAATGATATTAGTTTATTAGGTATTTTTGCTAAAAAAAAAGGAACATTTTTTTTTTGTAGTTCAAGAGAAACTTGAGTTGATGACTGAAAAGTATAAAGTATTAGTACATAATAGTCAGGAGAAAATCGAAAAGACAGATTCTGGTTTAGATTATCCTGAGGGTATATCTTTTAAAGAAGATTCTCATGTATCCAAAGGAACAAAAAAGCCATGTAAGTTGTATTTTTTATTTTTATAAAGTCGCGTTTCTATATATAAAAGATTTGTATTTCTATAAATATAAAATCAAAAAACTTTTTAAAAATTGCCTTGTAATCAGCTTTAAATATATTCTAAATAATAACACTGGATTTAAAAATATTTTAAATCGGAAATATATTAGAGGTGCACCGAGACCCTTGAACATTTACAGGATCCCTAATATAATAATAAAAAAAGAGTTCAAAAGGTCAATCTGGTACTCAAAAGTTGTATGGAAATTTCAAAAATAATAATTGTTAATAAACTGATTTTTTGTCAACACTGTCTGGAAAAGGGGACTTCTACAGACAATGTTGTACTAATTATATATCTCTAGCTCCAAATATTTTTGTAAAAAGTTTAGGTTGGAAAATAGCTAATTTTAATAAATTTTCTGAAAAATCTTCATCATATTTTAAATAAGCTGATACTAGCTCAATTTGTCATATCAATAGTTCTGTTTGTATTATAGTTGTTTGATTTTAGAATAGTAGTAAAATTAGCTCATTACATTTTATTTATTCACTTAGTCTCTAAGTGAAGTAATAAAATGTCGACATGAAATGTAGATTTTCTATTTTTTAGCTGCAAGTCAGATAGTGTCTCAGAAGCTGAAAACTAAATACCGTGCATCAACTAGTAAGGTAAAGCTTTAGTATGCTTCATAGTAAAAACCAAAATTTTTTAACTTTAAAGTATTTTACATTGCAAAAATTAAATAACAAAATATTTATTTTTGTTTAGTTTGTATCAAGCTTTAAAATGCCTAATGCTCAAGTTGTTTCATTGTATTGTCATATGGTTCAGAAATATGTTGGGCATCGAGATGGGATTTGGGAAGTATCTAGCAGCAAAGGAAATGTTGTGGCTACTGCTTCTGCTGGTAACTTTACTTTTCATCACCTTTTTTACTTTTACATGAACTACAGTATTAGAACTTAAAAAACAAAAAAAATAAGGAACTATAGTGTAATCAATCCTTCTAATAAAAAAGCAATCTTAATATATACTAAAAAAGAATTTTAAAAACTCGAACAAATGTTTTTTTTTAACAATTTAAACATTCTTTTTAACAATTTTCATAGAAAACAGACTCTATCTCTCCACGATTTTTTTTCTTTTCTTTACAATTTGACTACAGCAGTTTTGATGTTTTAACAACTTAAATGCAATTATAAAATTGTTATGTTACGAATAACTTTTAATTATTGATGTTTTCAAAAGTTTTTATTTTACGCGAAAGCTTTAAATGAAATAAAAAAAATTATTATAATGATTGTTTAAAATAAAGTATTTTTTGTAAATTAACATGAAATGTTATGTTCATTTTTTTTTTTAAGTAGGCATGTATTTTTTATAATAAATTTAAATGTTTGAAATTATTTTTCCATGTCTTTCTAAAAATCTTTTAAAAGATTATTTTTTTACCACTGTGCAACATAATATAAGACACTTATAAAACTCAACTATACAATTATATTTAAAAACTAATTTTTATTGTAAATGAAAGCAATTTTTATTGTAAATGAAAGCAAACTTAAATGTAGTTTAGTGTTTACAACACTAAACTACATTTAAAAAAATTTATTTTAAGCTTAACTCATATTTTATAAAAAAAAAAGTGTTTTTTCAGTGACAAAATTATAAGACAATTTTACAAAAAACGTTTTATTTGCAAACCGCAGTTGTGAGCAATTAAGAATATTTATGTGATGTAAACATAAATATTCTTAATTTTTTTAAGTATAAAATAACAAATTAATTAATAATGGGTCGTGCTGCATTGTTGAATCCATATGAGAAAAAAGGGCTCTCTAACTTACTGAAAATGGATCAATGTGTTAGTTACTTAGCTAGAGCTATTGGATGCAGCCAAACTGTGATTAAAAACTACATTAATACTCCTCATATGTATGTAATAAAAAAATCCTCGAACGTCCGTCAACATTAAGTGACCATGATAGGCAAAAGTTGTTGAGACAAGCTTCAAATTCTTCATTAACTGCACGTCAAATTGCTACAGAAGCAGGTGTGATTGGTAATTTACATACAGTTCAGCAAATATTCATAATGCTTTTCATCTTTTGTGCAAACAACTTCAGCGAAAACCACCTTTGACAACAAATCACATAACAATCAAATAACTTTTGCAAAGGACCATGTAACATGGAAAGAAGAGTGGCAACGAGCAGTATTTTCTGACAAAAAACGATTTTGTCTTGATGGGCCAGATAAATGCAATTAATATTTTCATGATTTGCATAAAGAACCAGTAACACAGCAACAACGTCAAATGGGTGGTGGTGGTGTAATGGTTTGGTGTACGATTGAGTATCATGATAAATCAAAAATTCGATTTATTAAAGGAAAAATGAATGCTAAGGATTATCTTTTAATTGTTCAAGAGTTTTTAGGATGTGAAGCATCTGTCATAGGTGGTGAAAATTTTGTTTTTCAGCAAGATAATGTTAGCCTTCGTACAGCTAAGATAGTAAAGGAATATTTCAACAGCAGTTAAGTTGAAATATTGAAGTGGCCAGCTAGATCTCCAGACCTGAACATTATTGAGAAAGTTTGGGCACAGCTGTCACATATAGTGTTTGAAGGTAATAAACAATATAGTTCACTAACTGACTTGAAATCATTCATCACATCGCATAGGATGCAATTAACATTTTTACATTAAAAAGTTGTATGGTTCTTTACCTTCTAGAATGATTGAAGTGATTCAAAAAAAATAGTAAAAGTACCCACTATTGATTTTTTTAAAACTGAGATGTCTTTTTTTATAAATGACAATTTATATGAATTTTTTCCAAAAGTGTCTTATAATTTTGTCACACTAAAAAAAAACAGTTTTTTTTTAAGAAAGTACGAGTTATGTTTGAAATAGATTTATTTAAATGTTGGTCAGTCTTTTAAACCTTTTGCTCTCATTTACTATAAAAATTAGTTTTTAAATATAAATGTATAGTAGAGTTTTATAAATACTTTTTGGGGTGTCTTACCAATATGTCGCGCAGTGTAGGTTACTTTTTTTTTTTTTTTTTTTTTATTTTTATTTATCTCCTCAAGGCCGAGAAGGCCACTACAGACGAGGAGGCTACTTATTTGTGGCTATAACCCTCTCTCAACTCTATAACTCCGAAACACGAACCTTGACGAACAAGGCCGCTGCGCGGAGAAACGAGTTGAGCGCGGTGCTACCAGGGACGTGGTGGGGATCGAACTCGGAACCACTCGTTTATGAAGCGAGCGCTCTACCACTACACCACTACCGCATTATTATTAACTTATGAATTAGTTTTTAAGTTAATTAATGAAAGTTAAGTTAAATTAAACCTTCCCATTGCAATGGAATGATTTAATTGCTTTATTTTTTTTGTTTCTATTTTAAAAAAAAAATTGTTTAAAATCTTTTTTTTTAACTTGCCTTACTAATCAGATCACGAAATGATTAAAAATTTTAATTTAAAAATTCTTTTTTTTATTTTTGCAACTTTTTAGAAAAAATAAATGTTGATAAAATTTAAAAAAATTATATAGAGTACTTTTTAATGATTAAAATTTTTTAATTTTTTAAACAATCATTAGAAGTAGTTTGTAAAAGCATTTTACGTAACTTTAATTAAATATTTTACGTAACTTTAATTAAATATTTTACGTAACTTTAATTAAATATTTTACGTAACTTTAATTAAATATTTTACGTAACTTTAATTAAATATTTTACGTAACTTCAATTAAATATTTTACGTAACTTTAATTAAATATTTTACGTAACTTTAATTAAATATTTTACGTAACTTTAATTAAATATTTTACGTAACTTTAATTAAATATTTTACGTAACTTTAATTAAATATTTTACGTAACTTTAATTAAATATTTTGCGTAACTTTAATTAAATATTTTACGTAACTTTAATTAAATATTTTACGTAACTTTAATTAAATATTTTACGTAACTTTAATTAAATATTTTACGTAACTTTAATCAAATATTTTAAAAGAAAAGTTTTAAAGAAATTTCATTCTAACACAATTAAAAACATAACAAAAAGTAAGTTTCGCTTCAAGTAAGAATTTTTTGAGTTTTTATTTTAGTGATATATTTACTTTTTTGTAAAGAACTAATAATAAATATTGGAAATGTTGCTGACAATTTATTTAATATATGATACAAATCATTACAGTGTAACTAACAAATCTGACTAAATTTACCATAATTAGTTTATTTTTTCCAAAAGTATCGTCCATTAGCATTTTTATCTAAATAACAAAGAACCCCACAAAAATGCTGATCGTCTGCGCAAGCACTACTAACATAGTTAGAAGTGTGTGCGAAGTTTTGTATTCTTATTTTTTTGCTTAAATTAATTTTTAGATCGAACAGCTAGAGTCTGGAATGTAGAGACTTGTCAATGTTTAATATCATACCATGGACACACAGGATCTGGTAAGAGTTTATTAAACCAATTAACAAGCTTTTATTACAAAAGTATAGTCCAAATGAGTTGCATAAATAATAACAGTATTAAAAATAATAATTAATAATAGCAAATAACAGTTATATATATAATACATCACATGCAAAAGTTATAGTAATTATTTAAACAAATTAAATTTAAAAAATTCAAAACAAAAGTTCTGTAAACTACTATTTTTACACACATGATGTGTATAGAACTACGATGTGTATAGAACTACGATGTGTATAGAACTATGATACGTATAGAATTACGATGTGTATAGAGCTACAATGTGTATAAAACTATGATGTGTATAGAACTATTATGTGTATAGAACTACGATGTGTATAGAACTACTATACGTTCAGAATTATGATGTGTATAGAGCTACAATGTGTATAAAACTATGATGTGTATAGAACTACGATGTGTATAGAACTACGATACGTAAAGAACTACGATGTGTATAGAACTACAATGTGTATAGAACTACGATGTGTATAGAACTACGATGTGTATAGAACTACAATGTGTATAGAACTACAATGTGTATAGAACTATGATGTGTATAGAACTACGATGTGTATAGAACTACGATGTGTATAGAACTACTATACGTATAGAATTACGATGTGTATAGAGCTACAATGTGTATAAAACTATGATGTGTATAGAACTATGATATGTATAGAACTACGATGTGTATAAAACTATGATGTGTATAGAACTACGATGTGTATAGAACTACGATGTGTATAGAACTACGATGTGTATAGAACTACGGTGTGTATAGAACTACGATGTGTATAGAAATACAACATAAAAGAAATAAAATAATGCATAATGTATAAAAGTAAAAAAAAAAATGTATAGAACTCAGGCCTTCTCGTAAGAGGCGTGCGATCCCATGCCTTATATGACCACGAATATAGTTCTTTATTTGAACAAGTTGACCACGGCTCATAGCAAGTTTTGATAATTAGCGCGTTTAAAAAATTGCGCTAAAAAAAAAAAAAGCAAATTAAAATAAACAATCCATAAACTTAAAAGAGGATAAAATCCTTAAAATAATATATATAACAAAAATTAACTTGAAAAAGTAAAATATTTAAAGAATGATAAAATAATTTTGCTTTAATTTTGCTTATACAAACATTGCTGTTTGATTTAGATTTTTTAAAACAAACGCATTTTTTCTAAATAATTTTGCGATCATTAGTTTTTTATTTATTACAAAAAACACTCATTTAAAATGAAAAACAATTAATTACAAAGACTTTTTTTTTAAAATGCCAAAACATAATTACTTTTTTCAATAGCGTCACTTTTAAGTAATATAGATAGAAAGTAATTATATTTTAGCATGGTTTTTTTAGTGAATAATTTTTTAGTGAATAATTTTTCTTTTTTTTAGTCAATAGTTTCTTTATTAGAAATTATATTTCCATGATAAAACGGTTTGTAATTATTTTTTGATAGCTTCTGTACTCATTTTGCCTTAAACTCTAATCTTATTTTTTATTCAAGGATTGCTTTTACTAAGTTTCATTAAAATACTCGTGGCAATTTAATTGTAATTATGGAATCAATTAAAAATCGCATTTACATTTGATTTGTTTTTTTTTTTGCGCATTTTTTAGATGCGCTAATTATCAAAACTTGCAAAGAGCCATGGTCAAGTTGTTTAAACAAAGAACTATATGCGTGGTCATATAAAGCGTCCGATCGCACGCCTCTTACAAGAAGGCCTGAGAACTATTATGTAAATAAAAAATAATGCATAAATTATAAAAGTGTATTAGATTTTTATGAGAATTGTTTTAAAAATTTAAAAATGCAACTGTTGTAAACAATTTTATTTGATGTTTTCTAAAAAAATGATTCCAAATGGATTTTTCTCATAAAATGATTAAAAATAAAATTATTATTATTATTGTTATTGTTACTATCATTATTTTTAATTTTTATATCAATTAATTAGTATAAAAATTAAATAAGACTTTTTATTAAGAGTTTTATTATAAATTGTATTCAATTTTTCAAAAGTTACTATTTTCTTTCTGATCTTGTTTTCAGCCATTCCATCCAGTTTTAAAATCTTTGCAAATTTTTTAAAATTTCAATAACAATAGTTATAGCAGAATTTATTTTTCGATCACTATGTTCCAGTTTGTTTGTTTTTTAGGAGAATTTATTCTACCATTATATATTAGTTTTTTTAATAGTAAATTTGTTTGAGAAAACATATCCAAAGGTCATATGATATTTTTTTAATATTAAATTTGTTTGAGGAAACATATACAAAGGAAACATGATATTGTGTTTCGAATTTATTCTTTAAAATCTTACAATGAATATAAAACAGAGAAAAATGATTATAATAGAATTCAAGATTTTCTTACTACTTTTCTTTTCTAAGTGTTGATAAACTTCAGTGTTTTCATACCAAAAATGTTCAAGAAATGTATGACGAGTTAATTCATTATACTGAAGAAGCATGTAACATATTTTTCTATAAATTCATCATACATAAATTCATCATCGAAGAATCTGTGGCTAAACAAAGATCTTATCTCACTCATTAGAGAAAAATGTAATAAAAATATACTTTAAAATATTCTATGAAAGTTTTATTTGAAATTTCCGTAGAAAAATAAAAGTATAGTTATTAATTATTTTGAAATAAATCTAAATCCTGAAGAGATAACTGATATACTGGAAATAAATTTTCAAAATGTTTTTGTCAAAGAAAATAAAAAGTGCCCTCCATTCTTTAAAATAAAAATCAATGATACCACTTTTAGTTTAACTCCTGAAGATATTTACAATGATAATGTTCTTGAAAAGAGTCGACGATTTACATCCATCTGTCTTGAAAAACAGTGCTACTACTTTTCTCTTCCTCTTACACTAATTTTTATATTTTGTGTATGTTAATTGTAGTATTTAAAAAATAACTAAAAATAAATAAAAAACATACTCGTTGTGGCTGCTTGACTATAAAGATAAAAGTAATAATATATAACCTCATCTTTATAATAAAAACAAATAGTATTTCTAATTAAAAAGTTCAGCACAAACTAAAAAATCTTACCAATGTAAGATTTTTTACATTGGTAAGGTTACACACATACATTCATACACACATACACACATACATACATACATACATACATACATACATACATACATACATACATACATACATACATACATACATACATACATACATACATACATACATACATACATACATACATACATACATACATACACATGAACATATCTAAACAACCATTTGTTTGTGGTTGCAGTCCTATAATATAGGACTATATGTATAGTGTGTGTTTAAATAACTGTGACAGCAGGCTATTTTACACTGAAATAGCCTGATGCCAGTGGCTTTAGTACATACATCAACTATCTGCCACAAAGTAGTGCTTCTCCATTGATCATCTTTAATTATTATTATTTTATATATATATATATATATATATATATATATATATATATATATATATATATATATATATATATATATATATATATATAGGTACCAATTTATCTGTATTGGCTTATATTACTCTTATTTGCTTGATTAATTGATGACAGGATTAATATAACATTGAATAATGTATTCACTAAATCAATAATATCACTATCATTGAAACATTGAAACATCCATTTTGTTTTAGATGTTATTATGAGTAAAATGAATTCAAAACAAAACTTTGACATTTTAGTTTATTAAATGTTATATACACAGTTATGTATACATTTGTATATAAATATAAATATAAATGTGTATACAAAAGTTAGGATTAACTCATATATACAGTTAACCATGACTTAAATAGTGCTTTTTTTTATTGTCATTTAAATTTTAAAGGTGATTTTACACATTTTTAATCTACTAGGTAAGCTTTCACTCACTTTTTTTTCTTTTTTTTTTAAAGTTAACTCTGTGCGCTTCCATCCAAATGACTCATTGTTATGTACAGGTATTCTTGTTATTTAATATTTTTGAAAAGTTTTACAATTTAATTTTTTGAATAAAATTAATACATTATTTATCTTTTTAAAGACCCACATTTTTGTTCTTTTATGTTACATTTTCTTTTTTTCGGTAATTAGGCTCTGGTGATGGTACTTGTCATTTATGGAAGTTGCAAACACCTGTGGTAACAGATTTTCGAAGACATTCACCTGTTCAGGCAGATGCAAACTCTGTAATTTTTATTGTTTTATTTTAACAAAGTTTGTTTTTTCACAAAAGTTTAAAAAGTAATAAAAAAAATATTGTAATAAGTTTCTCTGACTCAAAATTTTTGTCTTAATTTTTTTTTTAAAAGTCCATAAGCTTTAGATATTAAAAACCAAGAAAAAATAATCATTTTATGACTTTCAAGTCTAGAATTCTTTTCCTTTCCGCATCCTTGATTATTATATTGCTAGATGTCAGGACCCATAGCCTGCTAACACCTAAAATAGGAAAAGTGTAAAATGAATATCTTAAATTACAAAAGTGCTATTTTGAATTTTATTTTTAATAGACTTTTAGTTATAAAAAAAGTTGGCTAGTATAACAGCTTAGCTCTACACACATGTCACTTGCTTGGCTAGTTTTAGTTATAAAAAAAGTTGGCTAGTATAACAGCTTAGCTCTACACAAAGTTGGCTAGTATAACAGCTCTACACACATGTCACTTGCTTGGCTAGTTTTATGATTTAGCTCTATACAATAGACTAAAATTAAAACACTATTAACTTTGTTATTAGTGTTTTATCATATTTTATCTCTATAAGGGCTGGCGACACTGGGAGGGAGGGGGGACAAGGGGTAATAGTGCCCCCCTACACACACTTTTTTTCTAAAGGACTTTTGTTTTTTTCATAAATTTGTAGATAGAGAGGACTTTTTTTTTTAAATTGACGATTGTGCCCCTGAAAATCAGTGTCATCAGCCTTGCAAGTTATAAACAAATATTGCAATGAAAATATTGAAAGTATAAATTTCATTTATGTATCATCATATTTAACTTAGGTGAGAAATACTCTCAAAGAATGATTTGATACTGCAAATGTCATACTCTGAGTATGTAGTTACTATCAGTTTGTACCACTTGACAATCATAAGATAAAATATATATTTTTATCATAACTTTTATTATTCTTTTAAAAACTTTACTTTTAATTGATAAGCTCAACTCAAATAGATTTGTATTTGAGTTAAGTTTATCAATAATCACTTTATCAGTCAATGATATAGCTGTAGCTGCAGTCTATGGCTATATCATCAAGGAAAAAGTAGTTAACAATAATTATTAAATAAAAATAATATAATAAATATTAAATAGTAAAAATTGTTAATATGCATTAAATATAAAATTGTGTTAATATACACTTAGCCACGATTTGAACTTGCATCTTTGTGTTTGCATTAATAGTCTATGTCACCACACTAACTTACAAATTTGTTGCTTAATTTTAATTTGAGGAGGTGGGAGAATTCAGTAAAGAATGACAATTTAAATTTCAATAGAATTTATAAAATCAATAACATTAATCTTCATGATATTAACAATCTTTTTGAGAATGAAAAAAAAAACAGAATGCAATCATTAAAAAATATTTTAGGTCAGTCACAGTAAGATTAGTTTTCACTGAAAATTTCAATCCCTTTCTAAAGACTTTAAATCCTTTGTTGTTTATAAGTTTGAATATGCAGGATTTAAAATCTATTATATTGGCAAACAAGTTACCATCTAAAGACACAGATGATCAACACACTATAGGATAGATAAAACCTACCATTTTCTTGATCTCTTTATTAGCAGAATTTCTTTTTAAAGCTATAATATTAGGTACAAATTTCCTATTTACTATGTATTAGTTATTTTTCATGTTTTGTTAAATGGGTAAAGTCATGATCAAACATACCTTGTAGTTTAAATTACGCTTTAAATTATTTTTTAAATAATTCTTGATTTTCTTGGGATGACCACTATCTATATTTGTATGGGATGAATCTTGATTTTCTTAGGATGACCACTATCTTGTATGTATCATACACATATAAATAGTGCTCATTCTAAGAACATCAAAAATCATCCCATACTATGGGATGATTCTTGATTTTCTTGGGATGAGTACTATCTATATATGTATGCGATGATTGTTGGTGTTCTTGGGATAATCTATATGAGTATAATCACCTAATAAAACTAAAGTACTTACATTGTTAAGAAGTTTTTAAGTTTGTTTTTATCATATTCGTAATATTTAATTGTTAAGTTTTAAAATAAGTATTGCTGTTTTATGAAAGGCTGGCTCTGGTGAAGATGAACAAGAAGAAGATATTGAAACTGGTAGTTTTTATTTTGTTTTATTTTTAGTTTTAATTGAATGCAACATATTTATTGATCTCCTTGTTTATACTTGTAGATACTCAACATATGATTAAAGTAAAAACACCTCTAGTTCAGTTATCTGGACATGATGGTAAGTAAAACATGATTTATATAAATGATTAGTGGTGATGGTGATGGTAACAATGATGATCAGAATGTTGTTGTTTTTAGATGATGACAGTTTTGATGATGATTGATATTGATGATGATGGTGATGTCGATGCTGATGATGGTGGTGTAGATGTTGATAATGATGATGATGATGATGATGATGATGATGATGATGATGATGATGATGATGATGATGATGATGAGGATGATGAGGATGATGAGGATGATGATGAGGATGATTTTGATGATGATAATAATGATGTTGATGATGATGATGGTGATGATGATGATAAAAATAGTAAACAAGATATGATTGTGATAAGTTAATTAAACAGCTTCAAAATTAAAATTAAGGTTAGTAAAATTAAATTGATGGATAATTAGTCCAAATACCACATATGTTGGTCAATTAAAATATTAGGCAGGTAAATAATTGTTTTTACTATTTTATTTTATTTTTCAAATATGATTGCTAGTTATGTAAAATTGAAACTTGGTATAAAATAAATAATAGACTTCAAAATATATAAAATCAAAAATGAAATAATAAATGTAAAATAAATATACATATATCTGTTTAGGTCTGCTTAAAAAAATGCTGATTTTTTTTATAGTTTATAATTATTTAATTTTTTTTAATTGTTTGGAAATTATTATTGTTTGGGGAATTGATACTTTTTTAAGAGTCATACTTTTTTGAGTTATCATTCTTCTAGGTACCAACATTTATTTTGGAATTTTTTTCTCTAATTGTCTAATTATCATTCTTCTAGGTACCAACATTTTTTTTTCGGAACTTTTTTCTCTAGTTTTTCATACTTTCAGATATCATGATTCTCTTAGGAATCATCATTTTTTCAGGTATTTTTTTAAGAAGCATGTCTCTTTGGGAAATTTATTTTCTTGAGAGTTCAATCATAAATCATCAAGAGTATTTGTATTAAGAATAAGTAATATTTCACATTTTTATATGGCGTTTTTTTTATTTTTTCAATTTATATTCTTTTAATATTTTTATTCTTTTTTTTTTGTTCAAGTTTGTCTTGCTTTGTAATTTTTGTTTAAAATTTTTATTGTTTTTAAATTCAATTTTTATCTTTATTATCTTTACAACTTATTTAAAAAATTAGGTCCTGTTTCATCGGCAGATTGGTGGACAGGTGGTACCCAAGTGGTTTCAGCTTCTTGGGATCGAACTGTAAAGCTTTGGGATGTAGAAAAAACTAATGTTATTCACACTCTTGAAGGTTTTATTAATATATGACATTTTTTAGTTTTTTAACTTTATTGAATAAAAGTTTAATAAACTTGTTAAATAAAAATGTTGGTGATTTATTGTTGTTGAAAATACATTATAGGGCATGAACTTGAAATTACACATTTGTCAGTTAATTCTTTACAAAAGCTTATTGTCACTTCTTCCCAAGATACAACATTTCGTTTGTGGGACTTTCGATTGCCTAGCATGCATTCTGTTAATGTCTTTCAAGGGCATACAGAGTATGTACCGTAATAGATCTATCGATTTAAACATAGTTTAACATAATTTAATATAATTTAACATAGTTTTGCATTTACATTTAGCACTGTTACTTCAGCAGTGTTTACCAATAAAGCAGATCATGTAGTAAGTGGTAGCGATGATAGAACTGTCAAGGTAAGGCTATCTTAAAAGCTGGTATATTTATTAATTCAATTCAATGGTATATTTAGTAATTCAATTCATTTAGTAATTTATTTTTATACTCATGATATAAAATGAGCAATTTTTCTAAAGAAAAATATAACAAATTGATTTTTTTTTACCATAATGTTATTCATACATAGAAATGGCTGCACAAATCCTCAGATAATGTATATACTGAAGCTCCTAACACAGCTGTTACAGTATGGTGTCATCAGTGTCACATCATGCTCAACTAAATTCCCATTTATATATATATATATATATATATATATATATATATATATATATATATATATATATATATATATATATATATATGTATCTTTATAGTGTAGTCAAAAGAAAAAGTAAGGAAAGTCTATTTTGATTAAAAAATTGTAAAAAAGTCTTTTTTGATTACAATTTTGCTACCTCGACAATTAAGCTACATTTTATTGTCGTCGAAATGTCAAAGCAATTAAATTAATGCGTAAGTGCATGAAGTTTTATTGTTTTTTAAAAAAACCGCAATAATGACTAGAAAGTTTTTTTTAATGGTGTTTTTGTTATTGTTTTATAAAAATATATTTTTAAAACGTTGCTACATTGAATATCTAATAGCCTGACTCGCAACAGAGTGCTGCTACTTTGACTGACAAATAGCCTGACTTGCAAGGGAGTGTATAATGCTCAGGTAGAAAACGTGTTTATAACTTTGAATATTTAACTTTGAAAGATTGTATAACATGTTCTATAGAAAACAATTTCTATGTAAATTATTTTTTCAGAAATAACATATCAGCTGCACCAGGGTATCAAGGTATTAAAAAAGCTGTACTGTTTTGCGTTACTAATAGAGAGATAAGTGAAAGAAATGTTAAGATTAATAAAATGATTATTTTAATTTAACCTTAGTAAGCTTTTGAACCTTAGCAAGCTTTTATTTAGATGTCAAGGAACAAATGGCTTCCCACGTTATTAAAGAAAAGCTATGCAGTGAAAGTGGTAACACCATTTCATTGAAGACAGGAGGTAGTAAGCTAAAATTATCTATTGGATCTGAGAATACTCCAAAAACAACTAATTTTACTCACAAAAATCTTCTTTGTATACAGAATTCTCTTTCCTTAAGTAATCATCAAATTATAAAACTTGCTAATATGATAAGGTAAAATTACAATACTAATACAAATTCTGCACAATAAAATGATGCAATACTTGTAGCAAAATTTAGTATTAAAAAAAATTATTAATTACAGAGTTGTTGAAAAAAGAAGAAACGCTGTAGAACCTGGACTGAAAGACTGTGTCTCTGATTTGGATAGTTATCTTCTCCCATTATTTACTGAAGAAAATATTTTATTTGAATTTAAAAATAAAGATAAAACTTTGGAATATAAAAATACTACAGTCGCGTACTGCAATGATGTTACTCTTTTTGTTAAACTACTCCTGGATCTTAAATGTGTTGATTCTAAGAATCAGTTGTTTAAAATTGCTGTTGATGGGGGAAGTGGTTTTATCAAATTTTGTTTAAACATAGTTGATATCAATGAAATTTTTGAAAATTACGGCAAGTTTGACATAGATCACCTTAAAACAAAACCCGTAACAGCTTGCAGGGGTTCATATAAAGATGGTCTAATAAAGAAATTCAAAGATTCGTCAGTAAATGCTTTATTTCTTCTTCTGGTAGCTCAAGAGATCCCAGAAAGATATTTTAACATTAAAATATTATTTGAAAAACTATATCTTGATAAAGTTGAGCACATTGGGGTATGCGACATAAATCTTAGTCAAATTCTGACAGGTATATCTCCAAGTAGCAGTTCGATTCATCCCTGTTATGTATGTGAGTGGGATAGAAGAGAAGCTTGGAAAAATGCTCCATACAGAACCTTTGAGAGCTGTCAAGAAAACTATACAAAATTCAAAGAATCTGGTTCAAAACCAGATTCTTTGAATTTTGTATAGTTTTCACAACATTTTAAGAATTGTTAAAATGTTCTGCACACAACAAGTGTGCACAACATTTTAAGAATTGTATAAACCCTGTATTAGTACATGGAAACCCCTCTGAATTTCTTATAGACTTGTTTTACCGGAGCTTCATATAATGGAGGGAACAGTCAATCATGTAATGGATAACATGGAGCAGATTTGGTCGGAAATGAGTATGAAGGAGATTTATGAACAGTTGCAAATTATTAAGACTGGTCAGCATGGTGGAAAATTTAATGGAAATTCTTCTCGAAAAATTCTTAAAAAGTGGGAAGTGTTTTATGATAAGCTGCCAATTAAACTAAAGTCTTTTGGAGAATGCTTAAGGTTATTAAATTTAGTTGTTGAGTCTTGCTTTGGATCCGGACTTGATGAAAACTTTCAAACTAATATTGAAAATTTAAAAGCCTGCTATAAAAAGTTGATGTTAGAACATGGAATTACTTTAACACCAAAATTCCATATCCTGTTCAATCATGTATCTGAATTCTGTAAAACAAAAAAAATGGGCCTTGGAGTTTATTCGGAGCAATCTGGAGAAAGTGTTCACTACCTTTTCAAAACTGTCTCATGGAACCGCTACAAGGTGTCTGCAAATAATTCTAATTATGGACATAATTTAGTAAGGGCATTAAGTTCTTATAATGGAAAACATCTTGTTTCTCTTGGAAATGTTGATCTAAATGTTGATATTTTTTAGTGATTCAATTTGAGAAGTAATAGTTTTTAAATTTATATTTGTAAATATATGTTTGTTTGATGATTTAAAACATTCTGATTATGTGATTATCCACTCTTTAACAATGTAATATAACAAAATACCTTCTGTATTATTAATTGCTAATAAATTGTCTGTAACTTTTAACTAAAATTAACAACAAAATTTTGAATGAAAACATGGCGGACCAAAAAATGGCACAAAACACTTGCAAAAAAGGCGCGAAATAAAAGGCGCGAAAAAATCTTTAAAACGCCATTATTACTTAATAGGAGTTTTCTGATTTGGTGAACTATATACATAGTGATAAGTAAACTATACTCTTTCAGAAAACGTTGAAATTAATTTGGACACAATTCAAAAAACCTAACATTAGTTAAGGCTAACCGTGAGTGTCTTGTTTTCAAAAGAACATTGTGAATAAATAATACACGTATTTATCACAAAAACTGCGTTTTTATATTGTATAAAGACTAAAATGTCAGATCTTATGTTACATTAAAAGTAATTGAAACTAAGAAATGTTGTTTTATATATTAAATATGTTTATATATATATTTATATATATGTTTGTATATATATTTATATATATGTTTATATATATATATGTATATATATATATATATTTATATATATATGGATATATATGTGTATATATATATACATATGTATATATGTATGTATATTGTGTGTACATATACACATATGTACACACAAGTATATATAATTTATATATATATATATATATATATATATATATATATATAATATATATTTATGTTTAGGTTTGGGATTTGAAAAATATGCGATCACCAATAGCAACCATTCGTCTTGATTCAGCAGTCAATAGGTAATGAATTTTTTTTTACCTTAAAGTATTTTTTTTTATATTTGAAAATCTTTTCATATGCTATGGAAATTTTTTTTTCAACTAATTACATCATCTGGTTTGTATAAGCATTTATTATCTAAGTAGTATACTTAGATAATAAATATATATATTTTATATATATATATATATATATATATATATATATATATATATATATATATATATATATATATATATATATATATATATATATATATATATCCTCAAAGATAAGTTTACAATAATAAGTATATGTATATATATATATATATATATATATATATATATATATATATATATATATATATATATATATATATATATATATATATATATAAGTTATATATATAGATAAGTTTAAAATTAAATTAAAGATGTAAGTATTTGATAAGTCAAATACTTACATCTTTAATTTATTTCCAAAAAATTTGTAGGTTTTTAACCATAAAAATTTCTATAGAATAATGTACATTTAATTGAATTGAGTTATAGATAATATATATTTAACTTAATAGAGTTATTTACTTATTTTATTTTTAATGAGAATTTATTGGGAGCATTTCAGAATTTATTAAATTATTTCTAAACAAGTTTATGTTTAGAAATGTTTCCATGATTTTTAATTTTGATAAAATTATTCTTGTTTGGTCTTAGGTCAGCATTTGATAACTACAAAATTTGCCATATAATGATAAATATGTTTTACTACGTTTTGTAAGCTTTTATTAAAAAAAAAAATTATTGACTTGGCTGAATCATGAATCACTTAGGGTTAAATTTTGTCACATGGAATTAGCAGTACTTGTAAAAATACGTATAGATGCAAAGCTAAAAGATGTCATTAACTTACCAGGCTTTAAAGCGTGTGTTTATATTGTGTTTTTGGCACATTTTCTAAAAAAGAAGAATAAGCCCAAATATGAAACAGTAATCTTTGCAAAGACAGATAAGAGATAATAACAGATAACAGATAAAATTTAGATAAATGTACATTTGAAAATAAGTATAATTTGTTTAAATATAAATGAATATAATATATATAATATAGAAATAGTTTTATATATTTAAATAATTAACATATAATATGGTAGTATGATATATTTAATGTGATAAAAAATAAGAAAATAGTATTCAATATAAGAACAGATAAAGGACTTATAAGGATAGAGAATCAGGAGTAAGATAGTGATTAACACAATAAAAATATAACCAACCTTAGCAGCTTTTTTTAATTTTGCAATTGGTTTAATATGATTTCCATGGTTATATGGTTTCCATGAGAGATAAGTAGTGAAAGATAATCCAAGAAAACAGATTTTCGTGGCTTCTTGTTGTGTTTTTTCAATTATTTGTTTTATAATTTTAAATAATTAATTTAAATTATGCTTTTTTTTTATTGTTCTTACTAATTTATAATATCATTTGTAATTATGTATATATATAGTATAATTTATAATTATTTTACATGTATATATGATATTATTTATAATTATTAATAAGTATGTGAATTTTTATAAATAAAATAAAGTAAATAATAAAAAGTATTGTTACACTTAATGTTTAAAAATGAGAAATTTGAAGTTTTTGTTTGATAAATTGTTACCTGGTAAGATTACCATAGATTTTAAAGTGATGTTTGATAAGCTGTTACCTGGTAACCATAGATTTTAGATTTATATATAATATGTAAAATAAAAATAATTGTATTTATGGCCAAGGAGGCGTATCTCTATTTTTTAATTTAAAACATTAAATTTATTTAAATGTTTAAAACTTTAAAATTTTTGCAATCTATTATCAAACTTATTAGTCAAATAATTTCTTAGTTACACTTTCTTCAAATAATTTTTTTTTTTTTAATTAAAATTAAATTTACCCAGTTCAATTTTCACTAAGTTAAAGAAGTCTACAATGTCTCTCTTCTCTCTTTTATCATCTTTCTACAATTAGAAAGATGAAAAATGAAAGATAAAAGAGAGAAGTCTACAATGTCACTCAATCTCATTATAAAATTTTTAACAGCTTGTTATTCTATCTAAAGTTTCATTAAAATTTTTATAGCTATCATTCTATTAATATTACTTTAGTCAGATGGAAAGTGGATACAGAAGTTTTATGCTATCTTTCAGTACTTTTAAATTGATTTTTAGGACTCATATATATTTTTAACTTATTCTTTCATCTTTGTGTATCTACACGTAGTTTTTGAATATATATTTATCTGAAAACATTATTAGGCTTGTTGCCACAATCTTGGGGTAAATAGTTGTATTAATGTTGCGCGTCACGATAAGTTAAGGGTTATTCCAAAGCAATAATCTCTACAGATTTAGGATTGCAAAAAAATGAGTTTAGTATTTTAGACATCTTTTAGCCTAGTAAAGTGCTTCCATTTTTTTTTTAACTGCAGTTATGCAATCAATTTTTATAAATGAAATAAAACAGCTGTACTACTTTATCATTAATATATCTTTGCACATAAAATCCAATACTTAAATTCAACATAAATCAGCCATTGTTTGCAGAAGCAATCTACCTGATGCTTCATTTTAGGAAAGGTATTGTTATTATGTTCACCAACTAAGGATTTACATAGGATTTTTTATCGGAAATTTGCTTATTAAGAATCTGCTTTATTTATTTTTATAATACTAGGAAACTTCTCTCAAACCACTTGCTTGAATATCATTTTTTACTGACAATAGTTTATAAATAACTAAAGTTAAGTGTTGTAAACCCTATGTGTCGATATAGAATGTAATTTTTTACAACTTGAAAAAAAGATTATTAAATTAATTGTTCAAATGTTATTCATATAATTACAACATATTATTTCTATGCTTTTTAAAACCACTATAAATTTGAAAAAAAATATGTTTACAACAAGTTATTTTTAATAAATATAATTTCAATATATTTACATTTGATACATAATTTATATTCTTGTTTTAAATTGGTCCAAAGTATCCCCTATGAGAGGGTTACTTTGCACTGCCTAATAATTTTTTTAAATCAAATTGATGCTAAAAGAAAAATCTGCTCAGAATAATGATTTAAGTAACACTATTTTAAATGAGTACAATACTTTCTTTTCAATAAACTTAAATAAAAAAAAGAAAGAAAATAAATTTATCAACAAATTATGTAATGTAATATTTTTTTTTTTTTTTTTTTTTAATTTTTATTTTATAAAAACTCTATGTTTATTCTTATTCTGTACTAGTATTCAATTCTGAAACTAACAAAATTTCTTTTCCTCAAAATTTTAGAGGGGCTTATCTCTCCAATTATTTATCACACAAAAATGATCATTTTTTTCAGAGACTATTTCCCACATTTTATGATTTCAGGAAAATATTTGTTTTTACAACTTACAATTACAAATACATTGATCTGTTTGTTAATTGGTTTCACCAATTAACAAACAGATCAAATCATAAAACAAACTGTTATCCAGAAGCTGTTTACTTAATGATTTTGTTTTATAATAATCATCACATGATTTTAGAATATTTTTTTTCTATATGGTTGGACTTTGATTGGTTGGATTGATTTTGAAAATGACATATGATTTTGATTGGTTGGATTGATTTTGAAGTTCAACTAGGACTAGACTGGGGTTCAAAATTTTGATTTGCAGTTGACTTTTTTTTGAATCTAATTGCATATCAAGTAACTATTAATGTAAACAATTTTATCTTGCCTTTATATCAACAAATTTAATTTTAACTAAACTTGTTAAAATTTGCTAATTTTGGTTTTTTCAAAAACGAAGTTCTTGTCACTCAATTAGAAACATCAGTACACATTTCACATAACAAAAGGGTTATGTGAAATGTGTACTGTCGCAAGGCAAGCATACAAGTTCAGTGTTTTTTGAAAAATAGTAACATTAAGGTAAGCAGATTGTCAGCAATATATCTTCCAATGTGATGAGATATCTATCAATCAGATTAAGTACTTTGGTAGCGACAGTTTTTCCTTGGACCTTCTATCATCCATGTATTCTACATTTAGGTGGCAGCATTTCACCGGCTGCACTGCCACACATCAATAAGGAAGTGCTTGACTTAACACCATGATGACATCACTTTTCATTTTCCAGAACCATTAGTTAAGTTAGGTTCATCCTTATCTGGGTCAAAGTGACATTTTTGGTAAAAACATAATACCCTAACTACTTTCAACACCATGTTTTTAAATAATAACTTAGGGTAGACAGGGGTATATCGGGACAGTGGGGCATAATGGAACAGTTATTCCTGAAGCCTTATATCTCAGCTAAAAAAAAAATTTTCCAAAATTTTTTTGATAAAACATTTTAAATTATTGTGCTTCATTATTGTAAAACAAAAATTAGTTTTAGAAATACCAAAATGCATTAAAAGTAACAAAATGCATCGGTAAGTTTGAAAAGCAAAATTTGCATATTTTTTTAAGCGATACAACAACAAAAGATTAATCTTGAACTATTGCTAATTTGCTTTAATTATGAAAAGTTTATATTTTTCAGTCAAATATCTGGAATTGAACTTTTTGAATAGTTTATTCAAATATCGGGACAACAAGTTATTTATATAACTGATTATATTACTACCATTTTGGTTTACAGTTTGATGATTTTATTTTTAATCTAAAATATTATTTTTATTATTTAGAAAAGCAATATTAGTAATAAATTTAAAGAAACTATTATTTTATTAACTTAACTTCAATTATTATAGTGTTTAATGTAAACAACGAAGGTAAGAAATTATATAAGAAAGATTAACCATCCAAAATGGGATGAAATGTAGTTTTAGCTGTGAATAAAAAGGAACTTAAAATTCGAAAAGCTGCTGATACATATGGCATATTTAAATTTGCTCTACATTGGCAAATTGCTAATAAGCTAGCTCATCAAAAAGGACAATTTCTTAAGTTTGTTTGTTCAAGAGTATTTTATAATAAAACACAAAAAGTTTTTTTATTTTAGTTGTTATTTCTTTTTTGTGGTGTATGGGTGTGTGGGCAAGTAATTTGTATAGGTGTGTTATTTTTTTTGAGATTTTAATGTCTGAAGATGTTTAAATGATAAAAAGCTTTCATTTTTTATTAATTTTAAAGTTTTACAATTAACGAATAACTGCTGCTTTTGAACTGTTCCGCTTTGCCCCACCCACTTGTAAAATGTAGAAATTTTGCTAGTCCAGAGTTTTGTTACCTTGGTTGTCATAACTTATTTTCAAAATTTTTTTTTTTGTTTTTTCTTTTTCTTATATCAATGAATTATGATTAGTTTATCCGCGACATTTGCTTATTAAGTGCCCTATATGCCCCGCTCTACCCTAATGTAATTTTTTTTTTTTTTTTTTTTTTTGCATAAATATATACAGATAATTTATGCTCATAAAAAAACTATTTTTAAATGAGAAAAAATCCAGTAAAATAAATGGCTTACAAAAATATTTATAAAGAAATACTTTAAATGGGAACATCATTTAAAATTTATTCTAAAAATTGAACATAATGGTCCTGCTAAAAAAATCTAATAATTTTTAAAATCATTATTTAAAAGAACCGCTGTAAGAACGACGAAAACTTTTTAAAATCAATGCAAAGTAACTTCTGCAGAAGTAAACTAGCCCTGTTTGAAGGATTTTAATTTTTGACTTTTTATAGCAAACCATAATAACTTTAATAGCAAACCATGTTAAATTTTATTTTTTCTGCAAAAACATCATATACCGATTTAATAAAGATTTTCTTAATATTACTAGAGATCAAACTTATAACATTAAAAAGTTTTTTTCCCCTGTAAAAAGAGTTAGTCTAAAGAAGAAATTCAACGGTTAACTCATTTTTAGACTATTTAGTAATACGTTAAGAGAAAAATAGATGATACGCCCAAATTTTTTTGTTGTGAGAAAAATAGATGATACGCCCAAGTTTTTTAAGTGGCATTATGTTATCGGCTGATAAATCTATGTTTTCTAACTTTGTGTACGTAAGCTTAATAATTTGTATCTTAGGTTATCTTTGTCGCCAAACCAAAGTATTATCGCCATACCTCATGATAATCGCCACGTTCGTTTATACGATTTATCCGGCAATCGTTTATCGCGTTTACCACGTCAACAACGTCAAGTAAAAATTTTAAATTGATTGATTATTTTTTTAATTTTTTTAGAATGTTATATGCTCTTGATTTACGGTTTTAAATTAAACTCTTTTTAATTTATTGTTTTTTGAATATTACTTTTTTTTTTTTTATTATGATAGTAATAGATTTTTATATTCTCTAATTATTTTAGTTTTAAATTAAACATTTCAGGGACATGAACGTATTGTTTGTTCGACATGTTGGCTTGACGATACAAGCACAAAATCGGTACAATTAATGACAGCAGGTTTTGATAAGCAACTCATTGGCTGGAATATAATTATGTAATATAAATTATGTTGTTTTGTATTTAAAAAAAACTACAAATTTGAAATAAAGTTTAAAAGCTCAAATTTATATCAACTTGGTAAGGATAAAAAAAGAAAAATGCTAGAAGTAAATTTATATATAACCAATTATATTTTTTGACTAAATATTCAACTTGGACTCCTTAGTGTGGTAATTTTTTTTTTTCAACTTCCATCGCTTATTAAGGTTTATACGCATGATGTTATTGCTGTTTTTGGTTTTTGCATTATTTAATAACGCAATAAAGAGAAAGCAATTTTCCTCTATTCAGAATGTGTACAAAGTTAAACGTCTAATCGTTTTATGATTATTATTAATTGATTTAGTTTTGTTCATTTTTTTTTTTTTTTTTTTTTTGCATATTTTATTGCAAATTTATCACTTGTAAATATGCTTTTTTCCTTTAGTTTTATTATTTTATCGTCATCTTAAATAAAAATAAATTTGATTAAAAGTTAAAACAATTTTTTTTTTTTTTTTTGATGAATAGTTTTTGTTAACCTAATTTCTTTTCTATATATATATTTTTAATACTTCTGGGAAGTTATTTATAGCAATGTTGGTGTGCAAAAGAATTTAGAGTGTTTAACAAACAAATTTTCAAACTTATTTTGTAAATATTTTTATTGCAGGATTTTTCCCGAAAATATTTTTATAACAAAAAAAATTATATTAAAATAGTTAAAATTGTGTTCAAAAAAACAACAACTTCTAAATTAACTAATATAAAAAATAAAAATATTATTACAACAATGAATATGTTCCAGTTTAAAAATTTGCTCTTATGAATTATGTATATCTGAAATCTTATTATTACCATGAAATCTAATTTGCAACATATTGAGTCAAACTGAATCTAAGGTTGTTTATGCATGACATCAGACGCTTTTTTAAAATGGCAAATGAAAAAACGGATTGTGTATATCTGTTATAAAATCAGTCAAAAATTGGTCTTATTAAATCGAATTATATTATCCGCAAGAGTGATTTTATATAAATCAGAATTGCATGTTTTATTTCAGAATAAAAGCTACACGTTAGTCTAATCTATATCCTGGACTGTAACAATAGGAATACTTGCAGAAAAATGTAAATTAGGCCATTTGTAATAGCTAAGGTGCTTTTCAAGCAATTGTCGTCAGTGGGTTATTAGTTTAAACAATCAAGATATTTCCGTTAAATATCTGGTCTGCAAGATAAATGTTTAGATAGTTTAAAGAAAAAACAAAAAATCTTACGGTGGACTGCAAGCAATCTTTTAAAATGTAATAAAATTTATTTAAAATGCAGCCTATCAAGATTTTATGTTATATAATATAATTGGGGTATATTATAAAATCCTAACTTGATCTTGAACTTTAAGGCATTGGCGAACAACTAAACGGGAATGCGAATTAGAGATACCAGTTATACAAAATTGATCATATTTATTGCTCATCAATTAGTTTCTGTCACAAACCTTTAAAATCAATTTTTAAAAATCTTATAAAATAAAATTTTTTGGCATTTTACTAACATTTTGGCATTTTATTAACATATTAACAATTAACATTGGGGTTCGGAATTACCCTACGTACGTAATTCCAAACACACCGGAGGGCAATCACAAACACTGTTTTGTAATAACGAATAAAATGCTAATTGTAATAGCTAAGTGCAAAAAATTATACTATACAACAACAACAAAAAAAGGTGTGGTTTTATATCCGTAGAAGCTACAAGAGAATGTTACTCAAGAAAAAAGTTGCATAAAATTATCAGAAAAAGTTAAAATCAAATTATAGTGAACAACAATCGCAGCTTCATTACACAACTGCACGTCTGGAACTGAGCATGGGATCCCCTCTCAGCAGGTAAAAATAAATTGTCAAATTTATTTTTCTATAATGCTGTTTTGACCAGGTTCGGAATTACCCGGCGTTCGCCATTACCTTACTCTCCCTTTACTTATTTTAAGAAGAAAACCTTATGACTTTAACAGAAAACCTTTGGCTTTAACAGAAAACCTTATGACTTTAACAGAAAACCTTATGACTTTAACAGAAAACCTTATGACTTTAACAAAAGCATTTGGCACGCCTTATAAATTTCAAGAACCGTTTTGCTCACGCCAAGCCTCTTTTATATGATATGAAAGCACTCAATATATATGAGTTAAATGTTTTTAATATTCTTTGTTTTATGTATAAATGCAAGACCCACCTATCACCCGTTTCTTTTCGTAACTTGTATTTACAAAAAGACAGAAATAAATATATTTTAAGGAACGTTATCTTAATTCGACAACCATTTTCTCAAACTATTTTTGGAAAATTTTTTATTACATTTCGCGGACCATTTTTATGGAATAGTTTACTTCTAAATACTTCTAAAGTTTTTTCTTAAAAATGAAATTATGATTCTTTTAAACAAAACCTTAAAAAACTAATTTTTGAAACTGAAAATATATTAATCTACTTTTAAATTTTTGAAAATCTCTTATTTATATTAGTACATGTATTTTATTTAATGCATATTCTTTTTTATTTCTTTATTAATCATTTTATCAACAAACAATTATTTACATGTTTAATCTAGTGAATAATTTATTTATTTTTTAACATTAAATATTCTAATACTTTATTATAAATATACAAGTAAAACAAAATGCTATAATATAAATTTATAAGAGCTCAGATTCTTGCTTCTAGAGCATCCATCTTAAAATCAACACCGATTTCAAAATCGTTTTTTTTTTTAGTCCATGGTGTTCTTGAGCCTCTTAAACAAAGGATAGTCGAGCGAAGTATCTCAAAATATATTATTTATATAGTTGAGTGAAGTATCTCAAAATATATTATTTATATAGTTGAGTGAAGTATCTCAAAATATATTATTTATATAGTTGAGTGAAGTATCTCAAAATATATTATTTAACATGTTTTAGTTTTTAAGTTTTGAAACTTTTCTATAGAGTTACAATAGCTATTGTAATTTTGTTTATTTTTAATTTAATTTATAATATTAAATTACTTTTTATTAATTTTGTAATAAAAAGAAATTGAACAAAATTATATAAATAACAAGAATAGAAACATTGAAAAAAAATTAATAATAATAATAAAATAATAATAATAATTGAAAAAAAAAAAAGACAAAAGTATTAAATATATATATATATATATATATATATATATATATATATATATATATATATATATATATATATATATATATATATATATATATAAGAAAAAAAAAATAAAAAGAATGGATGTATGCGTATCTGCCAATATATGTATGTAGGCTACGTTTGGAGGTGAACCATCCTTTGGCAGCGGCTAGGTGTTTTTGTCGTTAGAAAAATAAACGGTAATTTATATATTTTGCAGTGGCTTGGCGTTTTCGCTGTCAGAAGCGTAAACAGAAATTTGGTAATTTGGCTAAACACACAGCGATAACCATCGTATCTAGGTCCTTTTGCACAACCTTTTGAACAATCTGGAAATCTACTTTATTCAGCCTGTAAATATCATTAAATTGAATATATACAGTGATATATAGTGGATTATATGTAGCAATTAAAAAGTTTCAGTGATTATTTTCGACAAATTAAATTCATTGTGCGCAAGAGATGTATTTAGAAAATTATGAACAATATTATTTGCATGAATTCGGAAGACACAGTAATTTGATTGTTTCAAGGCGTAAACACCACAACAAAAGGAAAAACGATTAAAAAAAAAAAAAACGTTCTAGTTTCTTTAATAGCGGTTTCTCTGTGACAAGATCTTTTGGTCTTCTTTGAGTATCCGCGATCTTTATTTTTATTTTTATACTTTATTTCTTAACGATATCTTGAATTGTTAACTTTTCTTTTTTTATATTATTTGTAACATATGTATTATAAATATTATAATAAAGAACAAACAAAAAAAAAACTTTAGGTGAAAAAAAACATGCTTTTTAAGAAATTTATTGACTTTAAAACATTAAAAAGAACTTTTAAAGTCTTAAATTTTGTATGAACAAAAAAAAATCTATGAAATTATTTTAAAGTAAAAGCAGAAGAAGTTGTATATAATAAAATAAGACATTTATTTTATTTCGTTTATAACCTAAGTTATAGATTGTCAAAGTTGAAATTTTATTAAAAAAATTGCCATTTAAGTCACTCTAACTTGCCTTAACCACGTCGAGTGTCTAAATATACTTTTTTTTTCAATTAAGAGTTACAACAATTTTGGGAAATTAAAACTATTTTTAATTTTTTAACAACTTCTATATAATTTTTCAAATATTTATAAAGAAATTTTTTTTTGCAAAGTCCTATGTGTTTACAGCTTTTGTTCTATTTAAGAAAAAAAAATTTGTGCTGAAAATAGTCATTTAAATATTATTTTTCACTAAAAAAAGGGACCCTAGCTAATACATACTAAGTATATTTGTTGTTTTTTCCTAAATAATAAGCTTCTCATTGATCAAATCGACCCCTTAACTTCTTTATTTTTTCATATATATAGTTTTTATTAACCGATTTTCAAGTTAAGACCGATTCGTATTGTTTTATATATAAGCCTGGGTACATCTTTTTAATGTCTTTAAAGTGATCCTATACAATCAAACTTATCTTACTAATCAACTTTAGAACACTTTTTACTGCATATAATAGGATACCCAGATATAAAAAAAAAATTAAAAATAGAAAAAAATATATTTACGAGCTCAAAAACCATGTTTGGAACCAAAATACCCCAATTACTGTTTCCTTTATAACTTTTAAACCATATTTACTCATTGAACAAAATTTTTAAAAAAAGTTTAGTATTATTATGAAGAACATTTTGAACTAAAAAAAATATAAAAAAAATAAGAAGAAAATAGCAAAGCATAATTTCACAAAAACAGTCAATATGCTCCAGTTATATAAAATTCACTTTTAGTTCTTAATACTTTTCTTTGCTTTTTACAGGAACTAGCTTATTTTATTCTACTTTTAGTCTCGTTTTGGACCATTTATGCAAAATGAAGCTAAAGTAGTAATGTTTAAATGTTTAAATAAATTATTAGGCCCTTAAAATAAATAATTCCTGAACAAACACCAATTTTAATTGTTTTTTTACTGCAATTTTTTACTTTTAGGACATCGAGACCAAATTATTCCATCAAATGACTCATTGATATTTTGGATGATTCCATGCAAGCATTTAATCAATAGAACTGGTTTTAAAACATCTCTCATAACAGTCGGCAACGACAGTTTAAGTTAGATTTAGATTTTATAGACGTTACTAAAGGCTTAACTATGAAAAACATTTTCGGCACTATATTTAGAACTTTTTTTTTTTAATGGTATAAGACCACCTTAATCTTTTACAAAAATCACATTAAGCAATAAAACATAAGAGTGTATATTTAATAATACTGCTCCAGGAAAACTGCATGTATTATCTTTATATTTTCCTCACAGAGACAAACTGTGTGTTTTATTGCACAACTATTTTTCTGATATCCAAATCGTCTAACTATTTATTATTTACTATTACATTAAATAATATACAAGACATTTACATAAGCTTCTGTAAACTTTGGAAAGATGGAGAGGGCTTGTAAGTGAATTTTCATCTTCTCTTTAACTATTTTTAATGTTAACTTGAACTCCTTTCCAGTTAATATTAAAAATAATATTTAAAATCATATATACTTTTCTTTTTTTTTGCTCGATCAACCAAAGACATTCGTAACTAAAACCAGAATTACGTAGGGCCCCAGAAGGCGGGTTTAAGTGGGCGCCAAAACCCAGTGCTTGGCCCAATGCAAAATTTTTTAGTTGCTCTTTGGCCGAAGATAGAACAGATACTACATTCCATCTTAGCAATTAGACTGTGAAGCAATATTTACTTATCTTTACAACTATTAAAAATTAGAAAAACGTACCGACATACAGACAGATAAAACAACTTTTCCTTTTTTTATTTCCAGCAAGCTTTTACTGGACTTGATTTTTAGATTAAATTCGTTCAGCGAGTAACACTTTATAAAATGTTATAGATATAATATTTTTCAACGGATTGTCTTTCATTTTTGATTTAATTTTCTAATCAGAGAGAGATTTGAATTAAATCTATACCAAAGCTTTAAATAGTCACAATTAACTTTTTTCACAAATTATACAGAATTTATTTATTCATTTATATTATTAATTTTGTCATTAAAAAAAAAAAATACAATGCCGTGTTATATAAATAAAATCTACACGACCAGGGTTAAATGAAGATAATATTTACATTATCACAACGCCCCGACGTGCTTTCATCAGCAAGCATGTACACCCATTAATAGGTAAACATACAATTACTTTGTACCGTTTAAAAATTATATACAATTGTTACGTTAATTTAAAAATTACAATAACACAAATATATTATTAATGCAATATTATTATATAATACAATATAATACAAACATTATAATATATAAATAATATTACAATCATGCAAATAAAATTATAAGAAGTATGTTAAGAAAAGTTACTAATCTATAATCAAAAGAAAATAAAAAATAATCACACCTGAAAAACTTAAGATAAGTTAATAGGATAATTTAAAAAAAAATTAAATTCGAGACAATTTAATAAGATAGTTGTTCAAAAAAAATTAAAAACTTATTAAAAAAAAAAAGAATCTTAAAAAGAATTTAATTCATTAACATCGATAATATGTTTTTGTTTGAGTTTTTGTTTGAATAAAGAAAGAGAAGAACAATTTTTCTGCTCGTTATTTAATAAAGTGTTCCATAATTGTTCGTTATTTAATAAAGTGTTCCATAATTTAGGACCTCTGATGGCAATAGAAAATTTAGTAACCAAATAGTGCATTTTAGGTTGCTCATAATTGTAGTAACCAAATAGTGCATAATTTAGTAATGTAGTAACCAAATAATGCATAATTTAGTGACCAAATAGTACATTTTTGGTTGCTCATAATTGTAACTTGAAAATCTTGTTGGGTACACGTGATTAATTTTATTGAAAATATTAAAGGAGTTAATTTATTAGGAAATTTGTACATAAATATAAGAATTTGATAAAGGTTTAACTGAAAAACATGATGCAATGACTTTTAAATAGTTCTTTAAATGTGTAAACCGACCTGCACTTAAAATAACTCTGACGGCGTGTTTTTGTCAACTAAGCAATTTTTAACTTTACTTACATTAGAGTTGTACCATGCAGTATTTGCATAGTTTATATAAAAATGTATGAGGGAAAAGTATAAGATTTTTAAGCAGTTTTTATAAATATTATAGTTTTTATAAATATTATAGTTTTAATAAAAATGTATGAGAATTATAAGATTTTTAAGCAGTTTTAACTTAATAATTGCTTAGCATTGTATATCATGCCAGTATATTTCGAAATTTTATCTTATATCGTTCTAATGTGTTCTCTCCATGTCAAGTTTTTGTCAATTACACCTCTAAAAACTTTAATGATGGCTCTAATTATTTTAGAGTCGCCAATATAAAGATCATGATGTTTTAAAGAAATATTTTCTTTTTCGTGAAGTCTATAAAAAATTATACAATAGAATCAGTTTTTTACTCATCAAATAACTCTTTCTCAATTCCCTACGGGCATTTGTTTTTAAAAGTTACGTTCTAAATGTTATTTTAAACGTTTTTTAAACGTTCTTTACGTAAGAATGTTTAGAAGACGTTAAAATACATTTAAAATACATTTAGAACGTAACTTTTAAAAACATGTATTTACCTTAAAAAATGAGCTGTCTGTTGATTCATAGATCGCTTACGGTTAAGTCAGAATTTTTCAGCAATTCTTCCACTATTATTAAAAATTTTTCTTAAAACATGATAATGTTATGTACTTATGTACCCATTTATAATGACACAAACAATTAATAATGTTATGTATTAATGTTATATAGTAAATTATAGCTGTACGATCAATAAAAACTATGAAGAATAGAAGTATACTAATTCAGGGTCGACGACACAGGGGGCCAGGGGGGCTCGTGTTCTTTCCCTCCCCCCCCCCCTCCCACTTTTTTCTAGAAGACTTTTTTTTTTTGTTTTTAAAGAAATTTTTTTTTCTTTAAAAGAAAAATCTTGATATAGAGGACTTTTTTCACAAATTGATGGTTGTGTGCCCCCCCCCCCCCACTTCAAAACCCGTGTCGTCGGCCCTGTAATTTGTTTTTAACTGAATATGTATTCACCTTTAAACGATTTTTTACCAACCGTACAGCTCTGTATTTTGCTGTAAACTGCTAATATTCTGTATTTACCAAAAAGATCAATGTTTTTTTAATTGGCTATATTTATTTTAGTCCTAAAAACCCTTATTTTAAACGTAAAATCAAAAAGTTATAATAAAATTAATAATTATTCAACAGCAAAAACACTTTTTTATATTAAAACACGAAGTTTAAAGTAAAAGCAAGTAAAATGATGGATAAAAAAATATCAATAAAAGCCAAACAGTCATAAAAATGCCTTCTAACTTTTGGACGCATTTCGAAAAACTATATTACATTAGGGAATGTTTTGTTTAATAGTTTTTTATGATTTTTTTGAATTTTCTGAATAAACCGGATGACGGCGACATTTCTTATGTAATTAAGAGATTTCATATAAAGCGTCCAACGTTAGTATAAAAAAACGTTTTTAATTGATTTAACTCGTACTATTTAAAAAAAGTGATATGCTTTGTTGAGTTTATTTTATTTAAATTGAACTTTTTTTTGTTTGTGTAAAATATTAGAAGGATTTATGTGCCTAAATAGCAGTGGATTTAAAAGTTACAAATAGATTTGCTTAAGTTGTTTGACCCTAAAGTATATCAAAAGAAAATGATTCTTACTTATGGTGTTTACTTTTTATTTGCTATGGTTTTACTTGCAGTTGACGTTTATAGTAAGTTTAAATTTTGTCTAGGGTTTCCAAAAAACCGCATTTATAATAAATCGCGGTTTCGGTTTTAACTTAAAAAAAAAAAATCGCGGTTAATCGTGGTTTTCGGTTTTTCTTGTTAAAAAATAAAAGTTGTGTAAGTTTATCTTGTATTGTTTATTAAAAAAGTTTTTTAAACAAAGTGTTCTAACATTATGTATATATTTCAATATAAAAATTGTAATGACTTATTTTTATTTATAAAATATTTATAAAATATAAAAATCAAAATTTTATATTTATAAAAATTTAAAAAAAATAAAATTTTTTTATTTATAAAATATTTATAAAATATAAAAATTATAATGACTTATTAAAATTGTAATGAATTATTTTTTTTGTAAAAAAATGTTAAGGAAATTAAATTTTTTATCTAGGGTTCGGACTGTTGTAATTGTAAAAACTAAATACGATAACACAGAGATGTAATTAAAACATTATTTATTGTTATTATATTGCTGTGTTAAAAAACAGCTACAATAACTATTCTATTGTTTTTGTTCTAACAAAACATTGAAATCCTAAAACTTTTGTATTGTTGTAAAACAATTACAATAACTTTTGTATTGTATTCCTGGGATGAAAAACGATTACAATAATTTTTGTGGTGTATTGTATTACTATTTCAAAGTCCAATAACTATTGTATTTTAAAATATTTGATTCTTTTTCACTCGCATAAATTATTTTTTGGGCACTAGAAATTTAGAGGGCACGAGAAGATCGTTTTTGGCAGTCATTTACACATATAATTTTATTTATTTTGAAAAGTGAAATGATACAAAAAGAGCTAAGGAAGTACATTTTACATATACTAAACAAATATTAAATTCAGGGGTGCTTGTGGCACCCGTTTTTAGCAACCATTTACATATAACTTTATTTATTTATTTTGAGTTCAATAATATAAATGTTTAAAGAATAATTTATTAACATTAATAATACTCATTTAAAGTCATACAAATATATAATTTATCATATGTTTGTAATGTTATGATGTTATTATATGTTATAAAATTTGATTTTTTTAAAATTTTGTCTAAACTGATATTTAAATGTTTACCGGATGATGACGTCTAAACTAATTGATTAACTACATAAAATGCGTGAAAATAGTTTATTTTTATTATTATAAATAACTGCTAATGAGTAACAAATTACAGCATTATGGAATCAGGGAACCATTGATCTGGTTAATTATATATTATATTGTCGAAACATGTGAACTTTTATTTTGCAATAATTTTTTTCTACATTTTTAGATTACTCATCACCTATTAGACTAGAGTAAGTATTATCGAATTATTTGGTGTCTGTTGTAAAAGCAAAAAACTAAGTGAAAGATATGATAGGGATTGATTATATAGCAAAAAGGTGCCTATGATGGCATACTTAACTTTGAAGCTTCATTATTCAGTATCCTGAAGACTAAAAAAAAGAAGAATTCGTAGTTTCCATTAAAACAAGCTGTGTCTGCCATATTCAAAAGATAAAATTAAAGTAAGTATTCCACTAAATGCACAAAACTTGGATATAAAATACATCAAAATTTCCTTTCTGCACAGTTAATAATAAAATCACAATCTTAAATATATGAAGGAAATAAAACTACAACAGCACATTGCAAAATCGATTTTTGTTGATTATAAAAACAATAATTGTGCACAAGGGATGTATTTAATCACTAAAACTAATATAAAGTCAGTCATGGAGATCTAATCACTTTTTCACCAAAACCAATTTTTACGGAAATATGTCCGGTATGCCATCACAAGTGCTTTTCCCCTATACATATCTAACCCCAACAGTAAAAGAGAAACAGGTCAAATAAAACTCACTTTTATAGAGCTATATAAAGTTTTGAACTAGGATAAGTGGTAATCAAAAAAAAAAAAAAAAATAGAATCAATAATCATATTTTAGTTGTACCCTATTGAAATAGGGTACAAAAATATATGATTTTTGATTCTATATCTGGTCACATGACTAAGTTTTGACATTACAATAATTTTTTTCATTACAATAACACGTTTGGCCAAAGAGACCGCCAGGTTTTATGTCGTGTCACTTGAACGAAACTTTTTTTATTTAAGAGTATTTGCTTTACAAAAATAGAATCTAGCATTTTTAAAATCCGAAAAAAGTGCTAAGAGTCATAAATGGGGCAAAAAGGTAAATTGAGGGGCCTGATGCCCATTTGACCATTTTAGACGCTCATTACAAAAAATATATAAATTAATTAAGAATATGTGTCTTATAAAAATAGAATATAAAGTTTTTAAACTATAAAAGTCGGAACAAAGTCCTAGGGATCACAAAGGACACAAAAAAATAAGATTGAGGGGCCCTACCCCCATTGAAGTATTTTAGACGCCCATTGTAAGAAAAATTTGTTAATTTATGATATTTGTCTTCTACAAATTGACACAAGGGTTTTAAAATCGAAACAAAGAACTAAGACTCACAAATAAAGAAAAAAGGTTAAATTGATGGGGCCACAAGTCCATTTAAACATTTTAGATGCCTGTTACAAATAAAGACTTTAAGCAATTTAAAAAAGTAAAACAAAAATATATATATAAATATTTACAATATTAATTTATATTTGTTACACAATCCAAATACACATTAATTCATTTTCCTGCACTTTAGAAAGCAACATGTCAAGGTTAAAGATAAATTAAAGTCTTCTTTCATTGAAATTTATTACAGAGGATAACAGCTGTTCTCCATGTTGAGCATGGTCTTCTGCACGTTTATATCTACTCCAGGTAGGTTTAAATTTAGAATGAATAGCCTCTCCACACTGTTAAGCAAACTTAGCTAGACCACAGTTATGGTGTTCGACAAAGGGTTGAACATGACACAGCAAGATGTGAAACTTCCAGCTTAAAGAACATTTTTTCCCTAGAGCCTGTGCAAGCTCTTGGGTAGAAAGGAAAGAATTTTTAAACACAGTAAATGCCATTTTATACTCTGTTAAAAGAATTTGACCAAAACAGGAATCTTTTACTATTTTAAAGTCTTTCAAACACTGAATTATAGGTCTCAGTTGAGGAACCTGAGATGCTACTACTTTATCAAGTTCATCCAGGTTTTTCAGGATCTTGTTAGAATTATTTCCGTCCCAACCTCTACCTTGATACCCTCTCTGATGAACACTTTTAGTTTTCAGCCAGTCATCAAATTCAGGCCAAATATCCATAAGTAGACATCCTAAAGTAGATACAACTCCAATCAAAAGATGTAATTCAGGAGGTGGTACCAAATGCTGAATTAAAGTATCTGGACTCTTCTCTAGATAGAGAATCCTTGGATGTATCACATTCATATATTGTTGCATGTTAGATTTTTTAAATTTATTTTCGACACTGTATTTTTCATACCAATAATCAAGACTTCCAAGAGTTCTTAACTTTCCACATTCTCCATTTTTCAAACCTTCACACCACAGGCATGCTCTTTTTCCTGCATGACTTGATAGACCAAACACAGCATTAGCGCACTTTAAATCAAATGCTACAAAAAAATTGACATCTTGTAACCTGAGTTTTTCTAATATAATTATTAAGTTATGATTTGATTCAGGAACATCTTCAACAATAGCAAGAATTTGAACACCACTATTCATGTACATTACAGAAAACTTTTTTTTTTCATTTACATCAAAAACATTGATTATAATTTTCAAAAAGGATCCTCCACTATCCATAGATATTCGTACAAATGCAGAATGAACGTCTAAACCACGTTGGTTAATCAAATCCATTGTGAAAGATGATGACTCTTGAACATACACAAGATCCTTTTCAACAATTCCCAATTCATTGTCAAGGAAATCTATCTGTAAAGATGTATAAATAGATAAGTGTCATTATTTTGTCACATTCATATAGTGTCATTATATTGTATATAAAAATTACTAAGAAAACTTAAAGATTAATAAAAAACACAAAATATTTATGTAAATTATTCAAAATCTAATTCGAATATCATTCAACTTTAAATTAGCTTCACTATTTTACAAAAATATTGTACATATATTGATGGTTACACATTGTATAAGTACATTTTGTAATGAATAAACATGTTTAGCCATAACAAATAATACTTATATAAACAATACACACTTGCTTGGCTAGGACATATTTTTTTTAATGGCATTTTATATATTTATATGGCTTATGGAAGAGTTAAAGCAACTTTTTTTAGAACCAAATGTCTTTCCTGGTGTTAGCCTGTTATGAAAATTAGGAATATATTTTACAACCACTATGAAGATTAGTATTCAAAGTAATAAGTTAAAAAAGCCTTGTCTGATCTAATATAAGATCAGTTTCTATCTTACTATAGAATAAGGATGTTTTATTCACAGTGAAGGATCTCTCTCTTTTTTGCATATCATTTTATATTAGAAAATCTAACATCATAAAAGAGCAATTTTTTGATCAATATATTACTAGATATCTATAAATAATATATAAATATGATTATATTTAAAATATAAATTACCTTTTCTACATGATAAAAATGTGATATGGATTCCGAAAGATCATTTAACTTGCCAAAAATGTTAGTTTCTACAACAGTCTTACTCCCTATTCCTTTCCGAAGAGTAGAAATTAATTGTTTGGTCTTTTTATTAGAAAGCTCTAATACGACTTGAAGTTCCTTTATAACTTGTAAGGATACTTGTTTTACTGATCTTCTATTTACCTTGTTAGAAGGACATCCAACAGTTACATTCAACGGGTTTCCCCCAGTTGATAAAGAAAATGTTGTCCCTGTTGAAATGCAGTCTGCACTCATTTTATTTTGTATTATACCTGAAGCAACTTGTTCAGCTTGAATGCTCCCTAGACTTGTGGATAGAAAAATCAAGTTTTTTACAGCAGTTGATGAAGAACAGTTGTGGACATGTCCTGCTGATAAGATTGAGTAGCATTGTCCACAGAGCTTTGAATT